CGATGTGGGCAGGGTGTATGTGCTGATCCAGGGCGGACACACTGCCTCCCAGTTCTTCACCACGGAGCATATACGCGACGGATTCCAGACCAAGGGTCGCTTCGGTCTCGCCCTCACCACCCTCGGCGATGTGAATGGCGATGGCTATGGCGACTTTGCGGTGGGCGCCCCCTATGACGGACCCGAGGGCCGGGGCGTTGTCTACATCTATCACGGCTCGTCGATGGGTCCGCTGGCGAAGCCCTCGCAGATCATACGCGCCGAGCAGCTGGTGGAGGGCGCCCCCTATCCGAGGACCTTCGGCTTTGCCCTCTCGGGTGGCGTGGACATGGATGGCAACACCTATCCGGATCTGGCTGTGGGCGCCTACAGCTCCGATCGGGTGTACCTGTTCAAGTCGCGCCCCGTGGCGGCTGTCAATGCGGAGACGACCTTTGCCAGTCCCTCGAAGCTGATCAGCCTGGACGATCGCAGCTGTCAGCTGCAGCGGGACCACAAGAGGGTGCCCTGCATGCTGCTGACCACTTGCTGGAGCTTCACCGGCCGCTATCTGCCCGACCAGCTGGACTTTGATGTCTCCTGGCTGCTGGACGCCAAGAAGGTGCGCAATCCACGCATGTTCTTCCTGCGGGATGAGGGCAAGAACATCCGCAACCAGACGATTCGCCTGAATTATGGCCAGAACTTTTGCCTCAACGAGACGGTCTACCTGATGGACAAGGTGCAGGACAAGCTGACGCCCCTGGAGGTGGAGGCCCGCTACAATCTGCGCAGCAATCGTCCCTTCGAGCCCGTGGTGCGGCGCAGGCGCGGCATCCTCGAGCCGGTGATCGATCAGAACCGTGAGATTGTCGTGCGCGATGCCATCAACATACAGAAGAACTGTGGACCCGACAACATTTGCGAGCCGGATCTCAAGCTGGAAATCAAGTGAGTCCTCCCCCGCCCAATTGCCCCTCCCCACTGGCCACAGCTTGGAGCTAAACTGAATCTCTTGCAGAACCGTGGACAAATATCTGTTCGGTTCGCCCGAACCACTCACCGTCGAAGTTCTGATCTCGAACCACAACGAGGACGCCTTCGAGGCGGCCTTCTATATGATCACACCCCGTGACCTGGAGTTCCGCAAGCTGCAGCAGCTGGGCGAGAAGAAGGACACGCCGATTACGTGCTCGGCCCCCACGCCGGCCAACAATCACACGCTCAAGTGTGACATTGGCAATCCCCTGGAGTCGGGACAAATTGTAAGTACAACAACAAAAAATTGATTCATTCTCCACCAGCATCCATGCTGAACTGATCTAATGTGATATTCCTGCTTCCAGGCCCATTTCATGATCAGCCTTGTGCCGGCGGACAAGTACGGCAGCTCCTCCAGCTACGAGTTCTACTGGGAGGCCAACTCAACGAATGTGGAGGGGGAGGGCTCCCACTTTGACAACATCTATCGCAAGAGCGTTGGCATTTGGGTGGACACGGATCTGGACATCAAGGGCACCTCCCTGCCGGACTATCAGCTGTACAAGGCCGACGACTACAAGGCGCTGCAGAATGCCACCAACGAGGAGGATCTCGGGCCGCAGGTGGTGCACATCTACGAGATACGCAACAATCGGCCGTCGATCATCGAGGAGGCCGAGGTCTATATCCACTATCCGTACGAGACCATTGTGGGCGATCCGCTGATGTATCTGCTCAGCCAGCCGGAGACGGGCGGCAAGATCCAGTGCGACAAGGTGTACGAGGTCAACGAGCACAACCTCAAGCTGGACGAGAAGCTCAAGAACAAGTCGTATCTGCACGCCCAGGGTGCCATCAGCAATTCGGTGCAGTTCAGCAGCCAGGCGGCGACGGGCGGCGCTGGTGCGGGCATTGGCGAGCGAACGGAGGGTCATCTGGCGGTGTCGCAGGGTTCGCAGGGCGGCCAGGCGGTGACCGTCAGCCAAACGGAGGCCAAGAATCGACTGACACCCAAGCAGGTGGCGTTGCTGGAGCGTGAGGATGCCCTCGATGTGCCCGGCGATGCCTCGTATGTGCATCAGGATCGTGCCAGTCAAGCGGTGACCATCGAACAGGAGCCCCGCATCAATCAGAGCAGCTTCACCACCATCTCCTCCAGCTCCTCGGGCATCGGTCAGCCCAGTGGCCAGCTGCGTGGCCACAGCACCCAGGGACACATTCAGATGGCTGGCCTGCCCCAGCAATCCACCATCGTGAGCAGCAGATCCGGCTATCAGTCGGCACCCCAGCAGAGGCAACAGCAGCTCCATCTGGCTGGTGCGGGTGGCGCCAACTTTGCGGACAAGTCCATGTACGGCGGACAGAGTGGCAATTTCCATGCGGGCACCCTTGATCTGGGCAGCATACCACGCAGTAATATGGACAATGATCTCTACAGGAACAACCAGTTCCAAGGACAGGCACAGGGACAGGGTCAGGGACAGGGACAGATTCACACCCAGTCGTACGGACAGGGCCAGGGACAGGGTAGGGTCAGGGTCAGGGCCAGTTCGGAGCTGCGCCAGGCGGCTATCATGTGACATACAGCTCTGGCAGCAAGCCTTACTATGGCCGTGAGAATGGCGACTACTACGACGAGGACATACTCCAGCAGGGACCTGCTCAGAGTCAGGGTCAGGGCGGGCCAGGACACTGGTCGTCGTCCAGCTCGAGCTCATCGCAGCGCCGCTTCCGTCGCAACAGCGACGACCAGAACCAGAACCAGCCCCAGCCCCAGCAGATCGATCTGAATTCGCCCTGCCATTCGGCCCGCTGTCGCACCATCCGCTGTGTGGTGACCAATCTGGGCACCGAGGACGGTGATGCCGCATTTGTGGCTATACGCGCCCGCATGGTGGCCAAGACCATGGAGAAGCTGGCCTCGAATGTGCCCCTCAATGTGTCCACGCTGGCCGTGGCGAATGTCACCCAGCTGCCGTTCATTGGCCAGCCAAAGGACAAGATCATCAAGTCGCATGAGATCTTCTACAAGGCCGAACCGGAGCCGCAACAGGTGCCGGATGTGGTGCCCCTCTGGGTGGTGGTGTTGGCCGCGTGTGCGGGTGCGCTCATCTTCCTCCTGCTCGTCTGGCTGCTATACAAGGTGAGTGATCGAAGCATAGGATTGGGTTAACTCTGCCATAGATCGACTTTCAATCAGGGCTTTGTGTGTTAATCGATTTAAAATCGATAACAAATTATTCTCCCCTCTAATTGTCACGTATTTCCCTTGCATTATGCATTACAGTGCGGCTTCTTTAATCGCAACCGACCCACGGATCACGCCCAGGAGCGACAGCCTCTGCGCAATGGCTACCATGGCGATGAGCATCTGTAGAGCGAGCGTTCAAGTTCTTCATGCAACATGAAATAACAACAGCCACAGCAATAATACATATGTAGTAACAAACAATTACGAACTCTTAATATCGTACTAAAACAGAGACAAAACAACAACCAAACAATGTACTAAAACACACACACACAAGAAAACCGTTGCCGGGATGATGTTTTTCGCTTTCGCGTGGCCCTGCAAGTATCGTATTCGATAATTATCGATTAATTATCAATTATAAATGAAGCAGCCAAACGGTTGACAGGATGTGGATCCTTCCTCTGTCCACGCATTGCAGTGAACACTGTACTCTACGAGTACAAACGGTACAACAGAAAAAAACAAAACAAAAAAAAAAACAAAAACAAAAACAGAACTTGCCTAGTCACGACATGAAGAACTTTCTAATGCGTAAAGGTTTTTTTATAACTTGTAATATTTAAATTTTGATGATACATATTTAGAGACGTTAATTTTATTTTATTTTTTTTTTTCGAAATTGAAATTATTTTTTATTTTTTTTTTTGTATTTTGCAAAAAGTTTTGAGCAATGCTCGAGCCGCGAGTTATCGAAAAAGTTAAACAAGTGCTATATTAATCTGTACTAAAGAAGCGGAGTAACAGAACTTAGTGCTAAGTGAATGTCTGAATGTGAGTGTGTGTGTGTGTGTGAATGCAGCATGTGAGTGTGTATGTGTGTCAAATGGGTGTGAATGAGTGGGAGTGATATGTAGCCTAATAACTGTGTATGTGAAAAACGAAATAGACACGATTACGATTATGGATAAGTGACGGGAATCGAAATGAAAATGAGTAATGGAAATGAAATTATATGAAATGCTGCCCACAGAGAAGCTGTCCTATACAGACATACAATACAATACTGCCACGCCCCCTAGGCAGCAGCAGCTAAACAACAACAAGAACAACAAAACAATTTATAGGTGCTACTCTAGAGTTTTTTTTTTTTTTTTTGTATTCTCTGCTCTTGAAAATTGTTGGCGTTTTTCACTAAATTTTAAATACATAAATACATTTATTATGAGTATGAGTATGAGAAGTTGGAAGTTATTTGTGTTTGCCAAACTCAAAGTTTGCCAGTTGCAACGCCAAAATGTGTTAAAAAAAAAAAGCGAAAAACAAAAAATTTAATTAATCTATGTAAAACCCTTTTGTGTAAATACTAAAAATAAACAAAACAAATTTAAAAAAAAAACTAAAGCCAGAATGGTGGACGTTTTTAAATATATAAAATAAAATTGCATTTATTTCCAAACTACATTTGAAGAAGAGCCGCGCTCTGCCGCTGTCTTTTCTTTCAGTGTATTCTCGAAATAAACGACGAGCCCCGCCCCCCACCCCTGTTCGCCACGATTCAGTGTCTATGTCTACTGTAATACAATAATTAACCTGGTTTCACCTGCTGCTCACAGTTAGTTTAGCCAAATTATATGCTATTGTTTAATTTATTAACTGTACTTATTAATGCGTGTCTTACATTACGAAGAAACTACCTTTTTTTTTGTTTGCTCTAATTGCTGTATTAAATTGAATAATTTTACCATACAAATATAAATAAAAACGAAGGTCGAGTTGTAAAAGTAAAATAAAAAAAAAAATGCATTTTATTTAATTTTATTTTATTTTATAATAACACAAATTTGAATTGCAATGTAGCAGGAACATTTATTGCATTAAAAGATATAAGGATAAGCACATTTCAAATTTGAATTTAAATTCGAACTCGAATTCGAATTCGAATTTAAGTGCGCCATAGCAGCCAGCCGGAGTCAGTGAGCGAATTGTGCTGCCAACCCTGCGCAGTTGTAGATTCTGTTAGACTTTGAACTGCAGCGACAAAATGCATTCTTCTTACCATTATGTTTAGTGTTGAAAGTGAGGCAATGGAAGTGCTGGAGCGTATGTATTGTGGTTTGTGCTCACAGGCAGCACTCCTTCAAAGAAATCGTCTTATAGCTGGTACCGCTGCAAGGATTTAATAACCGTCATAGCGATAGGGACAAAATTCATGCATACCCACCTCTGTCTGCTTCATGTAATTTCTTATTTGAATTTGTGTTGTGTGTCCTACATGACCAGCGTCATCCAGGCCACTGTCAGGAAGAGCCCTCCAATGGTGGGATAAATGCGGATTCCTTTTTTATGCGCCAGGGCGCAATAGTACAAGGAGCCGCTGTAGATCAGTGTCCCTGTGGTCATCAGTGTTCCCGTTAGCACGGGATAGTGGGCCAGTGGCATGGCCATCATTGCGAACGCGTGCAAAAAGTGCATGCGACTGGCCCCATCAGCATAGGACTCCAGTCGCATCTGGTCCAACGGATCCTTGATATCCCTCAGTGCGTAGCTGCAGTAGGCGCCTATTAAAATGGCCGATGTGCCGCTCAAGCCGGCCAAACGGATAAAGTTGTAATTACTGCCGACCAGGCTGTTGAGCGTGACCTCCGGCATCACGTATTTGGAAACGACCGAGCCCAGCGTCTGTATCTCCCTTGGAATCACCTCCTTCAGTTCCGGAGGCTTCCCAATGGCGCGCAGTAGTTCCGATGCGTACGACATGACCGCTTGCACCATGGGATTGTCGAGGGCAAGGTCTGTCAAGGAGTCCGTCATCGACATGATGTATAATTTTTCTCAAATATTTTTAGTATCAAATTTTGATGCTTCACGCAGCGTTGATGTCACGAATAGTTGCCACTGTTTGCTCTGTTTCCCAAACATGCTTCCAATATTCATAAACTCGAAATAGGCATTGTGGCCTACTATTTTTTCGATTTTTACTAGGTTTCTTACTCAAAGCAAACTCAAGGGCGCCAAACTAATTTTAAATTGTACGTCTCGCTCTTTCGTTCGAATTTTCGAACTCGCCGACTAAACAGCTGTTTCCGAAGAACTCTTGAGCAACTTCCTGGTATATAATGGTATTTTTCGACTTTGGTCACTTTATTCGTTCGTGAGAAAATCGTGGTGGTTCTTCAAAATTTTCCCTCCTCTCCGAGGTGAAGGGAACGCTTTGCATACCTTGGGAAAATGGATATTATAGAATAGAGATATTGTTTGTAATTTCAGGCTCCAATTAATGCAGAAACTACTCAGTCTCTGTTTTAAAGATATGAACGGAACTTGGCAGCTCAAGGGTACAAATAATAGGTATCAGAACCGGGATATATGTATTTATAAAACACAAAACATATGCCTTCAGAGGTAAAAAACATGTCAATCATAGGATAACATTATTATTATTATTTCAATGGAGCTTGGAACAACAAATTTAACATCAATTAAAGGAAATATGGTATACAAAAGTCCATACGCATAGAATAAACTTGGCTGACAAGCAACAATGACGTCACACACTTACGTTTTATGCTTTGGCCGTTTTTTGTTTGAACCTTACTATGTAAACAATGCAATTAAAAAGAATGCTGAAAACTAGCCAACCTTGTAGAAAATTGATGTATCTATCAGATAAAATTACTTGTTTAGGGCTGAGATGGCCAACTAGCTAGTAATATTAAACTGAATATCAAATTTATGCAATACGATTTCAATCACTAAAATAACACGTTAACCCATTGTCGACCAGAGGGGTATTTAATATTTCCACGAAATGTATGTAACCTTGACATATTTTAGGGATTACAGGTGAAAGATGTCGGTGGTCAATTTTGTTTTGTAAGTAAAGAGAAGGATGGAGCTACAAGGAGCCTTTACAAACAGTATAATTTTCCGCGGTTTAACAAAGGGTGCTCAACTTTTTAAGTAGAGGGCTGTTAAGTGGGCTAAGTCCCGTTTGATCCGGCCTGGTGGTATTTTTTATCTACATCGTCACGGTCACACTGCCCAGTAATCATTGCGAAACGTAGCGGGAATTTTAAACAGATAGGCACATCGTCGTGGCCCGAGCGCGTAAAAATTCAACTGTTTTCTTCGATTTTGTTCTACAGATTATAGATTGATTGTGCGTGTGTATTTTTTTTCGGGTGCACTTTGTGTAGAATCGCTGTGCGAGGCGCAGTGCGGGAAGCGTGCATTTAAAATGCTTAAATTGTTGCTAATCGAGCTGTAAACAATAAAAAAGGTAAAATACCTCACAAGAGATGTTCTTTTGCTGCAACAGGAATGTGTCGGATCGAGTGTGTGTGTGTGTGTTTGCTTATACCTGTGTGTGTGTGTGTGTGCGAGCAGAACATGAAAAAAAGAGAAAGATAATGTAGAACGAGTAGTACACCTTAGGCCAGAGCCGTAGTTGAAAAAGTGGAAAAGTGAGAGAGAGGGTGTGCATGTGTGTTACAGTGTGTTTTTTCTCTGTGTGTGTGTGTGTGTGTATGAAATGCCGGCAGAACCGGTTCAGCAAGTGACCAAAGCAAAAACCTCAGCTCTTGGGACCCGCTCCTGCTCCCGCTCCCACTCCTGCCCGGTGGCCTCTCCTCCTTCCACTTCTCCTCCTCCACTCGCCAGTTACTTCGTTTTCACGTCGACCTGTTCATGATCATTGGAATCTGTCACATTCGGCTGGAAATGTACGAGCACTTTCCAATATTTGCAGATCGATCCCCCTTGCCGCTGACTCTCTGACCCTGGCAAAGGTGTATAGATCAATGGGAAAGCTGACAGCCTAGTAGTAATTGTGGTGCTGCTGAGCTGTGCCGTTTTGATATGATTCGAATTTGTCTATTATATTGGGGATCAGCTGGTAAGGACTGTCTGGTATGTTATTCCTGATTTTATATACAAAGTGTTTAGCAGTGTTTCGTTTAGCAAAACGCAACAAATTACATAGTTCGAGCTCCTTCAGATGTACATATGTATGTACGTACATATGTTTGTTTTATGAAAGAATGTTAATTCCATTGAATGTTGTTTAATGTGAATATCAGGGAAGATCAATTGAGATCATAATTCACAGCATTTCTTCTCTCTTTTCTTTTCTCCTCTTCCTTTATGTCTTTCTTGACACTATTTCCTTTGGCTGCTGTGCCTGTGCACAGCCTCTCTTTCTTTCTCTCTCTCTCGTTGTTTTGTTCCCCAAAAATTCCCATGATTAATGCGTAAGAGCGTCGGGCAGCAGCGTCAGCAGCGGCAGCGGCAGCTGCAGCAAAGGGCAGCCACGTTCTAAGTGTTTTTCCAGATGTTCGACTGCACTGAAAAAAGGCATTGACATTGAAATTGTTGAGCAATAACCTTGATACGCGCATACTCGTATTAGGTTAATACATAAATAAATCTTAAGATTGCCGTACTGATTGTAATAATTGAAAACTTATGTTGTTCTATACAACCTTTTCCAACAGCAGCTTCCGCTGCTTCCGTTTCTGCTGTCTCTTGCCCTCTCTCTCTCTTTCTTTCTCTCCTGCATTTTGGCATACCGTTATTCGTGGGCTTGCGCAAGTGGTGGGGCCCGCTGTTATTCATTTTTGTTTTTTGTTGGAAACGCTGCCAGAGGTAAACCCTTTTGCATTTGCGCATTGTAATGCTCACGCACGAGGAAAGAGCCACCCCCGACCACTTTTACCGCCTATCCGCTCGCCCGCATCCCACAGTTGCCTTTTGTTCCGAACTACGCACTTTTGTTACTGCTTTTTGGCATTGTTTCAGAGCAAAGACAACAAAAAAATGCACATAAAATACATGTGCCATAGTCGAGCACTCGACCTGGGAATTCCCATTATGTTCATCGTAGCTGTAACTATAAACCAATGGGAATTACTTTTGTATAGATCGCTAGATAGGGCTTAAATGTCAGTTCATTTATTAGTGCAGTTCATCGCGATACTCTCTCACTTCTACGAGAGTACAGGGTATAAAATAATAAAAACACTCGAAAAGCTAACCTTAACCGCGCCTTTTTCCGTTAAACGTTTTACGGTTTCAACTTTCCGCTCGACTGGCTTTGCATATGAGTGAGAAAACATTGTTGTCTTTTGTCTTTTGTCTCTGTCTGCTTTTGCTGCCTGCCCTGTGGGAGATTTGGAAGAAAAACTCCTCCGCTCATGTTCCCAGCTCAAACATTTACTTTACTCTTTTGGTCTCAGGTTATTGGAGAGAGAAGTGAGTGTTGTGTTTGCTTGCCCGAATTGAGAAGGAATTGCATAAGCAGCTCACACACAAACACACACAGACACTCTCTTTGGATTGCAATTTTGCACTTTGTTAACGTTTAAGTGACTTCTACTAGCGGACAAATTGCTGATAGATTTATTGTTCAACAAACAACCAAAAAGCAACACCAACAACATGTGCTGATTGTGCAATCCACGTTTCTCTCGCGGATGGTGGAATGGAGGGGGGAGGTGGAGGGCCAAGACGAGGTTATCATTGCTGCGCTGCCCAATAGAAACTACAATCTATTCGTTATTAATACCCTGTATGAGTGATGGTGGGTGGAATGGAGTATATGGATTAAATATATGCATGAGGCTGCGAGGTATACCCAGAGGAAGTCTCCCCAGGAAGGTACATTAAAGTGCGTTTGAATTTCTATAAATGATCCCTCCACTGGTGGGCACACCACAGAAAACTTACTATAGGATATAAGTCAGTCGTAATATTTATTGTCGGCTTCCCCTTGCCTTGACTTGCCTTGCCCCGAAATCAACACATCTGATAATACGACTACAGAGGCAGAGGCAGAGGCCCGTGCTGTGTCGGTCCGACAGCTATGTCGTTTGGCGTGCCATTAACTCAAATTAAATGTCAATAGCACCTCCTAACAAGCGACAAGAACAAATGAGAAAAGAGGGGTGGCAAACAAATGAAATTTAAAGCTACAACAAGCTCCCCCCCCCCAGACACAACGGTGGGTGGGGTGGGGGGACAAGCACTAGTTAGCACTACTTAGCCCCCTGTTCATTGACAGGTGCGCGCGCGATTCGGTTGTCAAAATGTGGAAGCCCGTAACACTCAATTACAAACGGAAAGGGGGGGAGGGGCTATCAAATTGATGGCTCTCTAATACGTCTATTTGCTATTTGCTCCCCCCCCCAACCAACCCGAACCCCTAGTACTATTTCGTATAGCTAATAGTGGTTTAATGCCTGTCAAAATATGGTCAACATATTTATTACCACTATTTCTTGGTGCTCTTATCTGTTGAGATTTATATGGCAGTGGATGATGATTTATGCTCGCCGCCGCGGCCTGTTGCTCAAATATGGTAAGTGGCAGCTGAGGAAAGGTGCGGTGCGGTGCTGCGGTGCGGTATCCCAGGGGTCGTCTAAATATGGTCGGTAAAAGAAAGGCCGCTTTGAGAGTGTCTGTGTGTGGGTGGAAAACGTGGCATGCACCACTGCTTCGAATGAATAATGTAAGGGAGATATTCACATATCTGCCTGCCCAATACCCACTCAATGCTCGTCATGCCACAACGAAATGTTTCCAGTAGTTTTTTTCTGTCCGAAAGTGAGTTTAAATTTACTTTAAACTATAAACTGCTGTGCTGTAAATTCTCAAGAGATTCCTTTGCATTGCAACCCGCCCCGTTATTGTAGCCAACTCCGCCCTCGTGGAAAACTTGTGTGAAACTGCGTCTTAGCAGGGAATGGAATGGAAATTGCGCTTCGCACAACCCAGCCACACAATCCACCCCAACTAAATGACGCAGCAGCAGCCGCGTCGCATCTTTTGCAAGTGCCACAGACACATGCCACCACCATATCCCATCCATTCATCCATCCACTCACTGACTCGCGCGTTGAGAGGGAATCATGTCAAATAAGCAGAAATCGAAGAAAACTCTGAAATCAAAGCAATGGAAACTTGATAAGGAAAGCTGAAATGAAGCCCACCCCTTTAGGCCTTTGCCTTTGCCTTTAGTCTTCTTTCTCATTGTGCTGCTGCTGCAAGTGCAGCTTACCCACATTTGGATCGAGTGTCCCCATTTCGGAAAAACTGTCGCCGCGGCATTAATCCACTTTCAACACTTTCAGCAGCTCAAAAATCGACCCATTAAATTGGCCAAAAACAATTGCTGCAAAAAACCATATGACTAACAGTGAAAGGCAAGGAAAAACTGATTTGGTAATGCGGAAATTGACTAAACAGAAATGATGGATGGGGGCTGAATTGTTGAATGAAAAGAAAGGAGTTTGCTAACACCTGAAACCCCAAGTGTTAATTGCATGCCAAGTGTAATGTGAATAATTCTGCAATTGATTCTAACTCGCGCTATATTGCATTTAAATTTGGGTGTCCAACTGACCCATCCGCAGCCCAAATTATGGAAGACTTTAGTATGGACTGTGGGAGAGCCTTGCAGCGGGATTAATCCCACGGGTAGGCTAACCAAAATTACCCCCAAGCAAAGGCATGACAAGATAATATATATTTATTCAATTCTAAATATTTTCACAATGAAATCCCAAAAAATATAGAAATATTTGTGGGTTCAAGTTAAATATATTAATCAGATATATTCACTATAGTAGCAACCAGCACAAAAAATACAAAAATATAAATATATTGGAACTATTTTTAGAGCTCGATCTTAGGGTCATCGCTCCTCGACTCAAATTTTGTTGATTAGGGTAGGAAAAAGAGAAGGAAAAATCACTCTAAAAATCACAATAAATTGTAATGTGATGCTAATGGAATTAAAGTGTCATTTGCAACAAAAAGTTTGGACTAGTTTTTTTGTTTAGAGACAGTTCTATGACAGTTCTATAAGTAGCCTATGTCTACTATAAGGTTTTGTTGGTTGTGTGCGTTGCAGCTGAGTGTGTCATCATCCACCCCATTATCATCCAGTTTATCTTTATGTGAGTCTTTTGATGATCTTATCATTTAATACGGTTCCACTGTAAAGAACACACGCTTTCATCATTACTCAACAATCGTAGATAGTCCCATTCCCATACCCATTCCCATTCCCAGTCCCATTCCCATTCCGCTGGATGTGGGCCAGCCCAGAGATGGCCTTAACCGAAACGCTTGAAATATATCTTGTGGGTATAAAGTTTGTTTCTTAATTAAATCTATAGGCAAAGAACTCTGGCCGAATATTACATAAAATGTGATTTATGCTAACCATGAAATATTGTTCGAAAAACGAAAAGTTATCTCCAAGAGAGGCAGAGAGAGGGAAGGCCTTAGTGGCAATAATCTCAAAGCGATAAGATAAAAAAAAAAAAATAGCAGTTTTCATTGCCTTTAGCATTATTTGTGGTGTGGGTTCTCTGTTGGGTTTAAATCTCCACCCGTACACGCCAGACTGACCAGAACTTATCGCTTGCTAAGGGGGGGGCTCTAAAAAAGATTTGCCATGGCTTGAAAAAATGGTGTGGGAGATTCTTGATTAAAGTGTACAAAATTAGGAAATACCAAAGCGTTGAAGGTGCGCCTGCTTATACATTTAATTATTGATTATGATTCATGTACGCGTAAGCGGGGCGCTCTGATGATGCGCTGCTCAACTGTCGCGTGCATTCCAGTTTTTCTATTGTAATTAACCTGGCCTTCCCGAACCGTTCCGATCCGTTCTGTACTGTACTGTTGTGTTGTGTGCTGGTGCTGTGTGGGTGGCTGCTCTTCTCACAGATTGAATGACAAACATGCTATAAAATTTCACAAACGAAACGAGTGCGAGTGTTGATGTTGAAAGCACAAATAGAAAAAAAAATAGAAAATAAAACTATAACTATTTAAAGCCGAACATAACCACAGACGCAACAAAGACAAGTGACGCCTACTGCCTACTCTCGCTCTGCTCGCTGTTCTGGCTGCCTAGCGAAGCGAAACAGAATAAATCTGTATGCAATATCGCATCTGGAATATCGTATATATTTTATATTTATTTGATTTGAATATCGGAGAACAACGCACACCCTAGCAGGAGGGGCACGGCCCTACTGCTACTGGTACAAATTTCGCTGACACCGAATTCTTCTATAACTTCTCATCATTTTTTTGTATATATTAAAATCTTTAGCCAAATAAAAATACAGATTTAAAGTTTTAATTATCAATTAGCCTGGTTTAATTCGCTGGGACTTTCGGTTGCATTTTTAATTATTGTACTTGCACGGATCCCAATTAAAATTTATGCATGCATCGAGACCGAGTCCAAGTCCAAGTCCAGCTGCAAGACCGGAGGAGCCCCCTGCCTGTGGCAGACAGGCATTCGAAGACAATTTTTCGCAGTGCAAATTGCCGGCAATTGTTGTCAATTTAAAATTGAAAAGAAGTCAAATGTTGGGCAAAAGAATGCATGCAATCCAGCCGCTGATCTTTTCCACATATATATGTAGATATAGTAGCCACACTTATGTGTATATCGTATACACATGCTCTTATGTGTATGCACAGAAAGAATACTCAAGTCATACATATATCAGAGCCATCAAGTGGCGGCTGCTATCTGGCTGTGCGGGGCAATTTTCACTTATCGCTGCTGCTCTACATAACGCAAAAAGGTCTCTCTCTCTCTTTATGGCGGCCATGAGAGGTGTACACCTGACTGTCAGGGCAGGGCGGGCAGGGCAGGGCTGTTGCATCAGTGTATATCATGTCTCAAGGTAATCTTTTTTTGGATTATCAAGTCTGTTGAGACTGATCAAAGGCAATGACAGAGAACTTTTGTGAATAATTTCCTCCATCTACTATTCCCGTATCTATTCCCGCAACAGATCTGAACAAAATGCCTAAATATATGCATTGAGGAAGCGCAGCAGACACCCAGACAGACATACAGACAGACAGAGAAACGATTCACAGCCAGCGTCTTAGAGCCCAGGAGAGAGTGTGCAAATCATTGCGTGTAATGGCCATCAATCAGGGCAAATACAAGCCCACAATCTGTGCCATCGATGAGGTCGATGATCGCAGCTATAAGCTGCACAACAGCCAGGATGAGATACGTGGCAAGAAGCAGCAGCAGCAGCAGCAGCTACAGCAGCAGCAGATCGAGGGCAGCGAAACGGCCCCGCTGACGACAAATCAACAGAAGCTGCATATGGATGAGGCGGGTCTCACGCCCAAGGACTTGGAGGCGGCACGACAAGAGGCACTGAACGAGGTCAGCAGCGGTGGAGTGGCAGGTGGCGGCAGGACACCCACAGCGAATACGCCCAACTCGACGCATCCATCGGCGAATGGACTGAGAGGTGAGTGTTGTGGATTATCTCATTGCTATCATCTTCATATTCATCTCTCATCTCTCCCATCTCGCATCTCCCATCTCTCATCTCTCATCTCTTTCATGTGCTATAAACAAAAAGCCTTGCTGCTTCCAGGACGCCGATCCTTTGATGCATTGATGAGTTTGTCGCGCAAGCGAAGGATTCTGTATGTGAGCACCGCCTGCCTGTGCGCCCTGCTGCTGATCATCATCATCATGCTGCTGGCCTTCTGGCCGGATGTGCCCTTCTATCTGCGTGCACCGCTCTGCCTGGAGCGGGAGTGCGTGGAGAGCAGCCGACAGCTGCTGCTGTGGGCCAACACCTCGAAGAGTCCGTGCCACCAGACGTACGAGTGGGCCTGTGGCAACTTTGCCAGCGATTATGCCGACAACGATTACTTTGTGATCAAGCGTGGCGAATGGAACTACAAGACTTACAATGAGTATCAGGGTGAGGCTCCTACACATTGATTAAATCTCTTTTTGAGTCGACTCTTATCGCATGATTCCCCCCCTTTCACCCTCCCCCCCTGCAGAACTCAATGAACTGAATCGCTTCATTTCGATGCTGCCGAACTCAGCCGAAGGCTCCTACTCCGTGGAGTCCACCATCAGCAGTCTGTACCGCAGTTGCCGCGAGATCGATGCCCTCGACAAGAGCCAATCGGATCTGCTGCTGAAGCGAGCCATCAAGTCCGTGGGTGAGTGAGTCTTCCCTTCCGCCTCCGCTCCCTGGATAGATCATTGGATGATTCCTCGTCTGTGTTTTACATTTATTTTCGAGGGTTACTTGGGAGATATTTATACAACAAAAAAAAAAAGGGGGGTTTATCATGCTATTTGCCATCGATTTGCCATCCTATTTGCCATTGGGCGGCAGATAGGTGGCACTTTGGGCAACCTTGTGGCCGCCAGAGCTGCCACCCGACACAGTGGCGGTGTAGCCCCCGCCTGCACCATTGGCGGAGGTGTAGCCACCAGACGAGCCGCCATTGGAGGCGGTGTAGCCACCAGACGAGCCGCCATTGGCGGAGGTGTAGCCACCAGCAGAGGAAGAGCCGCCGCCAGCAGTGTACTGAGAGCTGCCACCGCTGGCAGAGCCAAGGGAGCCGCCATCGAGGATGCCGACCACAGACTGGGCAGGCGCCACGCCGCCATCGCTATGCTCCGAGGTGCCCTCGATCCTGTCGTATTCAGCTAAGAAGAGAAAATGGGGAGAACAAACATTAAACTGGCGATCCATGGGGGGGAGGGGGAGGATCGAGGGACGACGACGACGTACCCTGAATCTGCTGCTGGGCGTGAGACGCCTCCGCCTCCGTCTTGTATTTGATGAAGAAGACCTCCGGCTTGCTGGGCACTGTGGGTGCGGGTGTGGCAATGTCGTTGACCTCCAGCTGGTTGTCCTTCTTGGACAGCACATAGATGACGGTCTTCTCCTCCTTGGGCGCATACTCGGCCGATAGCTTCACGTTGGCATTGCTCGAGGACGGGGCCTTGATGAACACCACCCGGTAGTTCTTCTGTGGGCGACCGATCACCAGATGCTTGGCCCGTTCCAGATTCTCGTGCTCCTCGGGCGCGGCGACGGTGAAGAACTGCTTGTGGATGATCGGCTCCTGGAAGCCGCGCTGCACCTCCTGCTCCTGCTGCTGCTGGTAGCTGGGCGCCTGGTAGCCCGCGAGGGCGCCAAAGCCGATGTTCGGAGTGGGACCAAAGCCAGTAAAGCTGCCCGTGGAGCCTCCGGAGAAGCCGCCAGCGGAGCCGCCATAGTTGGAGTTGGCGCCACCAAAGTTCGATGAGGAGGAGCCACTGCCGTAGTTGCTGCCGCCGCCGCTGCTGTAGCCGCCGCCGCCGCCGCCACCGCCAAAGTGTCCGCTAGCCTGAGGAGCGGCTGGCACACCGCCAGAGCTGCCGAGAAGAGAGCCAACGCTGGCGCTCTGGAAGGCGCCCAGGGGTCCATAGGAGGCCACAGAGCTCTGCGTGTTGCTGGGCGCACTCAGGAAGCCGCCACCGCCTCCCTGGGTACTCTGGGTGTGGGTTGTCAGAGTGCCGGAGAGTCCGCTGCCATAGTTATAGCCCTGCTGGGGCTGGGGCTTGGCCTGGCTGAGGGCCAGCAGAGTGCAAAGGGTCTGAAAGGGGAATAGATCGATCGATTGGATCCTGTGGATAATCCTTTGTGGGGTAGCGGGTAATCCGTTGCGAGCTCTTACCACAAATAGACGCATCTTGAGTGCTTTTCAGTTGTCGGGTTAATGATGCTGCCCGTCAATGATTTGTGGCCTTTTATACCATGCCGCCCGAGACGTACGAGTAACCGCTTAACCCCTAGCCCTAGCATACGCGTAATATCCATCTATCTATCTATCTCTGTATGTTTTCCTACTCCTCTCTTCCACTGCTTCTATAATTTTTTTTTTGTTTTTGTTTCTTTTTTCTTTTAGTTTTTTTTTTCTCCTCGCTGGCTGTTTAATTAATTGCTCAATTATTTGACTGTGTCTCGAATCGAACCTCTGACATTTGACTTGTTTGTTTGCCTCTCGTTTTCCCCTCGTGCGACCGTCTCTTTCACGCCTCCTTTAATGTGTGACCTGTTCGTCTGTCGATCTTGTCTTGGCGCTGTGCTTTTTCGTGGGTTATTTGCCGTCCATAAATCATATCGCTAGCATCGCTATCCGCTATATCTGATAACCGTCAACCGATCACAGTTTACAGACACACAGACACACAGACAGACAGACACCAAATTCGGCTGCATTTTTGCACATTTTTTGTCGCATTGTGCGCGTCATTTGGCATGCAAATTTTTGCATAGAAATGTCATTCTGATTGATTGATATCCATTGTATAGTTATATTTATATGCACATATGTACAATATATATTTCTACGAGTTTATGCAGCAACTTAATTTGGTCAGCATAGAGGAACAAATCAGCTGGGGGCTGGCTCTGCCAGCACCACTGCAAGGCGAGTTATTTGATTAGACTTAAATCTGAAGGCTTAATTGAAGCATTGCCAATTTCTGGCTATATAGTATCATGTGTTGTTATATCCCACATTAACGCTGATATTACGATTTTGCTTAAAATCTTTTTGCTTGCTTTTGGTGTTAGTTTTTTCTAGATATTCGTATACATTCCATGTATATTTTTTTGACTTAAAACCAAGTGCATATTTTTGTGTCTTTCCGCATCAGTTTGTGAGAACTTTGAACCCGAGGGATAGAAATAATGTGGCGCAGCACTGACTGAAACCATTAATTTGCAGGGAAATCTTTTCCGTATTTTCATCCTATTTAAACAGAACATTCTGAGAGACAACTTTCCCTGCCCATACTTTTTATGCTATAAATTATCCCCCTTAAATGTATAATTTATCACAATTTAAATGCTGCTTTGAATAGTTAAAATTCACTTGGGTTTGAGGCAATTTTCATATGCAGCAGCAAGTCCGCAGAGTTCTTATTTGTTTCACAATCATATGTAGTCATATATACGAGTATTTCTTTATTGTTTATTTTACAACACACATATCTTGATTAATGAACCGCCAATATGTTTGCTGTCTGCTTTGCCCACAAAGGAAACCAGTCAAAAATTTGTTTGAATTCTTTTCGGTGGTAATTTTTTTTTTTCCCAGAACAGAACCTGCTTCCGCCTAGAGGAGACTTTTGGCTGTGACGTACTAAGGCACACCATTGTTAACAGAATCCAACAATTAATGTTTGAAAGGCATTAGGCAGCAGCACTAAGAAAGAGCATTGGTGGCGGTTATTATTTGTGAGCTTGCCGAAGGCGCAGCGATTTATTGGCATTGATTTCGCTTTTATAAATCTCCATGGGTCCATCTCCATCGAATATGATGTGAAAAATGAAGAGTGTATGCTCTATGGCTCATTTTCTATAATTGCAGTTCGCCATTAGATTTTTAATTGGATTAATGTGGTTTTTAATAGCACCAATCTATCGGCTCGCCCTCTGTCTCATAGTCTTCCAATGAACTTGGGCTTTGGTTTCCGCTTTGTGTGTGTGTGTGTGGGTCAGTGTGTGTGTGTGTGGGTCAGTGTGTGTGTGTGTGAAAAATCTCTTGAGGATCCCATAAATTCAGGCATTTCGCTGAAATCTTGATACCCCGCTTCCAAAAGGGTAGCCCAAACAGATGCGTGCCTCATTGATTATCTTGTGTCATGGTCTATTTTTAGTTGGGCGGGCTACAGGCAGAAATTCCAAAAATCAAAAACAGCAACAAAAATGTTTGGAAATAAACCAAAAACGGAATTCCAATCGGCGGTCTGTTGATCGAATGAATTATTTCAATATAATTGCCATAATTTGAATGCGTTTTGGGTTGGGCATGGGCCGCTTTAAGGGCCTTTGTGTGTTGCGCCAAATGGCGATATGATTTATGCACACATTTTGGCCACCTTGAAGGCAGAGTGATAGGTAGATAGGTGTCAGGCAGGTGTGGCAGGCAGGCAGGCAGGCAGGCTGGCGGGCGGTGTGGTTTTAGAACCCGAAAGTAGCTTCATCTGCGACCTTGCGAATGGCTGGCCAAGTGTTTGCATAAAATTTCTTCCGAATTCGCGTGGATTTCCTTTGTTTGGTTGTTTGGCCATCTCCAAAGATTAATTGCTGCCAAATTGTTGCTGCTGCCAATCAGAAAAAGGTCGTCCAGTTGTTGGCCCAAACATGGCCCGGTCTCTGGCATCCGTCTCGGGTCTGACTCTTGGATCTTGGCTCTTGGCTCTGAAAAATCCTATTAATTAAATGCAAATGCAAATAAATTCAAAGTGGAGATAAACTGGCTTTGCAAAAAAAATCAGACAAATCGTAAAAAAAATGCATTGCCGTTTCTGTTTCGGTTGCGACTTGCAAAATTTATGCAAATTTCAAAGATTTGCGCTCAAATCAAATTTGGACGATACTTGGAAGCCCCTGCAAAATACAAATACGAAAAAAAAATCATCCAAAGTTTTACAATAATTGCAGCAGTATTTCATAAACGCTAAAAAAAAAAAAGGGTAAATCATTAAAAATGATCCCAGTGAAAATATATGAAAATTTTGTAAAATAATCAATTTATTTTTGCGTATTTTTCCCAATAATAAGATACCAGTATTATAAATTTTTTGCTCTCTTGAAAATGTCAATTGGGCATTTCCTAAATAGATTCTTTGAAATTGTTAAACTATTTCTTAAGAAATTTCAAAGTCTAAAAGTGTTTTAAAATATTATAGAAATTTATTTAAAGTATTAATAGTTCATTATTAAAAGTGGCCTAAATTTGTGAAACTTTTTTTGTTGTTGTTGCAGTTTTTTTTCAGTCATATACCTCAGAATTTTTGCTTTTCCCCCCTTACTTGGTGTTCGCTTTATTTGGGAAATATTTTGAAACTTGAAACGAATAATACTTTGATCTTTCATTGGAGCTTTTTATTCATGTTTATTCGAGGCGGATTCTTTTCACTTTCAATCAGATTTTTGCACTTTGCTAATTTGTAACCAAAGACCTCTATTGCTAAATCGCAGCACAGGGTCAAAGCACTTTTTCACATACATATGTACATACACACACACGTATTCGTAAAAAAAAAGAATTCGCAAATCAGATGTCACGAGCAAAACAAAAACAAAAAAAACAGCCAAAAAAATAACCACAAACTGTGCAAAAATTATACAAGAAAAATATAATTAAGAGACCTTTTTTTTTATTTACGCGTTCGCCAAGAGTTTTATGATAAATTTGTGTGTGTTGTTGTTGTGGATTTGTGGAAATGGCTTATCGACTATATGCAAATTGCGCGGAATATTCAATGATTTGGATTCAGTGGAGACGATTCACTGGCGCCACGAGCATTGCCAGGTGCGGGGGCCTCTGATAGTGATAGCCCCCGCCGCTATCAGTGCCCGCTGTAGTCGATTGCCGGGCGCTAAGGGCTTCGATCACGGACTGTACGGGTGCCACATAGGGAGCCGCTATCTCGGTGTTTCCGCCCAGCTGGTCGTACTGCAGCTGAATCTCCTGCTGGGCGGCAGCAGCCTCCTCGTTCGTCTTGTACTTGATGAAGAAGATGTCGGGCTTCTGCTCCCCTGCCTGCTGCTGCTGTTGCTGGGGCGCCACAATGTCCTCGGCCTGCAGCTCCGGCTGCTTCCTGGTGAGCACATAGATCACAGTGCGTTCCTCCTGGGGCGCCAGCTCAGCCGTGTATTTCAGCTGGTCGCTGCTGGTGCTGGGGGCGCGTATGAAGATGACGCGGTAGTTGCGCCTTGGCTGTCCTATCACCAGGTGTCTGGTTCGTGGCTGCAGCTCCTCATCGGGCTCCTCGGCCGGGGATATGCTGTAGAACTGTTTGGTTATGATGGGCTCCATGGCAGTGGCAGCGGCAGTGGCTGGTGGTGGCAGATAGGTGCGCGAGCCCTGGCCCTCGATCAGACCAAGGCACGAGAGTAAAAGTAGACACCACCACAGCTTGAGCATGTCGCGGCAACGAAAGTGAAACTGTTCCACCCACTGTCGATGTGTTTCACTTTTAAAAGAAATTTTCCAAGATTTGACAGCGAGATTCGCCAAAAAAAAAAAAGAAGATAGATGTAAAATCTGTGAAAATCTCAGACCAATTAGGAGATGCGCAAAAACAAAAGACTTGGGCAACGAACTCGGGTCTGAAGTCAAAATTAATTGTGCGTGAAAATGCGTGTAGTATGCATTTAATTTGTATATGTTAGATGGGAGTCAGATCTGATCTAGGGGCATTATGTGTCGAAATTTCTAGCGTCAACATTTTTGCCACTAATTTATTATTTGTATTTATTATTTGCAGTGCATAAATTAACTACAAATTCTTATATTTCGTGCTCTTAAAACTTCGCCAAATTCAGCTGATATTCCACTTAGTTTGATTGAATTAATTGAATTATATACCCGCCACAGTGACCTTGAATAAGCATTGGGAAAAATTTGTTAAATATTAAATCTAGGGGTGCAAATAATTAATTATAATTTAATCTATTATCTAGCGGGTCGTAGGTAATTTTGCTATATAGCATTTCGTTATGCTCTGCACACTGTTCTGCTGTTAATTTGCAGATCATTTATGAACTGATCAGGTGGAGGGGGGGATGCATACGCATATAGCGTTGCCTACCCGCAGGGGCAGGCAGGCAGGCAGGCAGACAGGCACTCAACGCCCGCGCTTTTGACTAATGATCGAATGATCTCTTGGCCACGTCTGTCTCTGCATTTTGGCTATATATTTGGCTCGCTCGATGTCTGGCAGCCTCGATGCTGATTAGTAGATTAATGGCAGCATTTCTTGGGTTTCTTTTTGGCTCGATGTTGTCAACAGATCGAGACAATTAAAATATCAACAATGGATCGAAAGAGTGGCAGGGTAGGCCATGCCTTCCACTGACTCGGACTCGGACACGGACTCCGATCTGTGCTCTCTGTGTTTGGAACTGGTTCGATTTGGTTCGCTTGTGTGTGCATTCGATTTGCATAAATTGACGCGTAATTCCCACACTTTCATGTCGCATTTAAGCAAAATGGTACAGCTAATTTGATTTATGCCCCGTTTTATTAAGAAAAATTGTGGCCATACCGAGAGATATGCCCATGCACGAGCAAAGAGTGGCAGAGTGGCAGAACGGCAGAGTGGCTCGGCTCCTCTGCAATATGAAGATGTTGCCAACAGCCACTCAACTTCATCTGCTTGTGTGTGTGTGTGTGAAGGTTGTCTTGCAAAGAAAATAAAGCGCATGACAACAAAACTTTATCTTGATTATCAGTTACATTTTCCAATCTCACAACATTTTGAAAGAATATCAAGTGTATTGATTGGAAATTAAATTGAATCAAATTTTAAGTTTTCATCATATTTTACATGGTTTAAATTTTTTTTTTCTTCATGGTAAGGCATTTTTTAATATTGTATTTAGTTACTTATTAAATTAAGTTACCTATCATTCGCATTTTCAATGCAAAGTATTGATGAAAAAATAACACTGATAGGTACATTATTACAGTAATAAATACAGGCGAATTTCGTGATAATTCTTTGGTTAATTAAATGTTAAAACTACAAATAAATAAATTGAAACGTATACAAAGAATTTAATAATTAATTTAATTGCGATGTTCCCTGATATTTATTCGAGGAATATTTTCATTATTTATTCGCTGCACTTAACTCACCATTCCGCATTAATTTGCCCCTGATCCGATCAGATCTCATGTGAATGGGAGTTGCTCGCTGCTGCTCCGGAGTCTCTCCCCTGCCCGCCCCGCCTCTTATCCGCGCATTGTGTTTATTCAGCGTCAGTTTAATGGCCCAATCAAACCAACTGAAAAAATGGGGCAGAAAAAAGCCCAGGCCAAATAGGAAACATACATAAAATTTTACTATTTAATTAAATTTGATGAGCTTATTTTGATTTCTCACTTCATTTAAGCTAATTTCTGTTGGACATTTTGACAGGCAGCTCTTGTCTGGTCTGGTCTGGCATGGTCCGTTCGGTCATTGTCATTGTGGTCGTTGGTTTCTGTTCGATTTTGATTCCGATTTGGTTACGAGTATCTATGCTTAAGGTTTTTGGCCTCTCTGATTTGAATATCGAGAGTAACAAAAACAAAGCTGAAATGTTACTGTTTCTGTTTCTGTTTTTGTACTTTGGCTTTGACTTTGAGATGGATTTCATTTCATGTTCGGGTAGGGAGGCGCCAATGTCTCTGGAGCTGGCCCTGGCGCTTGACCAATTTATTTATGGGGAATTTTGTAATGCCCCTGGCCCTTGGACAACCGTAAGATTTTTCTAGACTTTTTTTTTCTTCTTCTTTAAATATAAACTTTATTGGCAACAAAAACAAAAAAATACAAAAAAAAAAATATAGTTGGCTTGTCTCTTAAAATTATGCAACACTGAATAAATGGGTGTGGGTGTGGGTGTGGTAGTGGGGGCGGGGAAATTTTTAGGATGCGTGTGCGGGTGGCGATCTTAATGCTTGAGCAGACTGGGCAGATACTGGGCACTGGGCGAGCCAGGCGACAGGCTGCTGTTGGGTCCGCTCGATGGCCGATTGCCGATCTGTCGGTAGTTGTAGCTGCCATCGGGATTGAGGCCATCCAGGCTGCCAATCACCGAGGTAATGGGCGCATTATTATCCTCCTGGTACTCGTTGGTGCCGCCCAGCTTGTCGTACTGTCCCTGGATCTCGTGCTGTGCCTGCTTCGCCTCATCGTCGGTCTTGTACTTGATGAAGAACACCTCCGGCTTGCTGGGCTGTGTGGGTGCGGGTGTCGCAATGTCGGTGGCATCCAGATCATTGTCCTTCTTGGACAGCACATAGATGACGGTCTTCTCCTCCTGTGGGGCAAACTCGGCCGAATACTTCACATTGGCATTGTCGCCCGCCGGCGCCTTGATGAACACCACCCGGTAGTTCTTCTGTGGCCGTCCCAGCACCAGATGCTTCACCTTGCCATCGTTGCTGTGATCCTCGGGCGCCGACACCAGATAGAACTTCTTGTTGATGATGGGCGCCAGTGTGGTGCTGGCCGGTGGCAGGTACTTGTCGCCACCGCGATGCGGCTGAATGGCCACGAGGCCACCGCCAATGCTGCCGCCGCCGATGCCACCGCCGCCGCCGTTGCCTCCAATGAAGATGTCCGAGGGCCCAGAGCCGGGCTGCTCATAGCCGTACTGGGGACGTGCCTGGGCCACAGCCAGGAGGGCCAGGCAACCGATGAATAGTGGACGAACGAACATGACTGTTTCTGCTGCTGCTGGTAATTGGTAATCCTTAGTGATCCTGGGGACGGAACGGGACTGACAAGTGATCGTTTGCTTGCTGGTTGCTTCGTTGACGAATTGCTTCGAGGCAATGGTTGCATTTGAGGCCGCTCCACTTGGGTTATATATGCTCCGACTGCCCTACGTCGGGGCACAGTCTCTTGTGCTTTGTGCTTGGGCTGGGGCTGGGGCTGGTGCTCTGCCAGCGTCAACGTCAGTTTATGCAAATTTGATGGCATCTCTCAATGCTCCAATGCCCGAGCCTATGCTCTCAGCTTTAGTTTTAGTTTCAGTTTCAGCTTCGGATCGGATTGGTCTTCCACAGCATTCAGTGGTTCAGTGGCTCGGTGATTCAGTCTTTAGAGTGACCTAAAATTTATTCAAATTAGAACGATCGCTTGGGTCTGGGTCAGTCTTGGTCTTGTGTCTCACATCTCACAGATGCGCTTTATTCGGGCTCTGAGTCTAAGTTTAGCCATGGTTTACATTCGCTGGATGCCACTCAAACAAAAGTCTTCTTTTGGTCTGTTTTTTTTTTTTTTTTTTTTTTTTTGTTTTTTTTTTTTTTTTTGCTTTTTGCCATCGCACTGGCATTGAACTTGACTGCGTTCGCCTTGGGAAACACTCACAATGGATTAGCAAATATCTAAATATATATCTTCATATTCGCCAAGTTAGTTGTGTATGGAAAAAAGTATTGGTGTCCGTTTGTAGGCCCGTTTGGACGGGAATGAATCTCATTAAACGGCACCTCAAGCGCTGACGATGACGCTGATCATCTTCATATTATCTTCACAGGCGGCATCAATCTTTAGGCGCCCAAACAAGTTTACTGGGTTTTTTTTTGTTTGTATATTTAAATTTTTTTGCTGGCCTATTCGCTCATCAATTAGTTTGCAAATATCTATAACAGTTGGGGAACATCAATGAATATTTATTTCCAGAAAATGTATGAATGTTTGGACATTAATAGCAATGATTTTGCTGGCCAATTTGTGGTGGATTTTCTCGTGTAGAATATCTAGTATTATTACACTTAAAGGATAGCAAAGGACCTCCGAAATATTTATTATTTGCATTGTCTAATTTTACACATAATTCACATACATATACATATGTATTTAAAATGATAATAATTATAATGATAATAATTATAATAATAATAATGCAGTGGTATTAATTGAAAACATTTTGAAAGTTTTACATATTTTATTTAAATACAGTACATATTTATTTCTTTAGCGGTATAGAGCTATCTCTACCTCTACAATTCTTTGCATCAGACTTTCTTATGGACATGAATAATAAAATATTTCTTCCAGATCCGGGGGAAGCATGAAGAATTAATGGATAGGGTGAAAAATCGTTTGTCAGGTTTTCATTAAACTTTTCTATATACATTTCTATGGGCATAAAATATATGTATATGCATTCCGCTTTGCTTTTCCAACTTTAATCGCATTTACACGTCACTTCTGTCAACTTATATTTAATTTTAAATAATTATTATTAATTCTTTTTCAAAAAATTCTTTCAATCGGTTAAAATATACATTCAATGAGTCTGTAAATTAAATTTTTGTTGGCTCTAAACTAAATCAAAGTACCTTGATTTGCTTTAAATTCAAGCACAACGCTTTATGTTTTATCTGGCCCAGTTTTGGTTTCCTTCCTGTTCGCTTAGTGGAATTTCCCAGCAAAATTGGTCAGCCTGACACGATCGTCAGCCATAAATGGTGACCCCAAGCGAGCCAATCGATGACTCAGAGTGCCCCCCAGGTACAGTGCCATAGAGCCATAGAGCCATAGAGAGACAGACATTCACCGGCGACCGCCTTGGAGGTCGGGTCGGGCCTTGGAGTGTTGGATGGGCGGACGGCATATGTATACATATATAGAATACGAATCGTAAACTCATAAAACATAATTCCGACTGAACTGGACTGGACTGAACTCGACTGGCAAATGTAGAAGCAAGAGATCAAGATTTTGAATTTGAATAATGCCTTTGAATGGATTTATGGGCTGGATGGAGATTGATGACAGAACATAAACGAATAAAACTGATTGACAATTTCGGCAACAATGGGGATCATCAATGATGAATGTTGAATGCCCCCCCCCCCAACGAGAGGAAAGAGAGAGAGGTAGGGAGGGAGAATGGATGGTCGGATGGTAATGCATTTTGTGCGATTTGGAGCTTCACTAATTTAGCTATTAGCAGATCGTATATCGCGTATGGATTATGGAAAGCTGAACAAAATGATAATTATCAATTAGGCATTCCATATTCATAACTTGGCACAGCAGCTCCCCACCATTGTCTCTCCCTCTCTCTCTCTCTCTCGCTCTGCGTTCCGTTGCGATCGCTTGCTGTGCTGCAAAATTTATGTAACTTTTTATTGATGATGACAGTAATAGAAATCGAATCGAGGGACAAATCGGTTCGCTTGAATCAGAAGATCTACCACCACGAATCACCATCCAGTATCTCGTATCTCGTATCTTGTATCTCGCATCTCGCATCTCGTTTCTATTTCAGTTTTTGTATTGAAAAGTTGAGTTCATTCGGCTACCGTCCGTCGCAGCGTTTTATTTAGTAGGTGTGATTATCTTTATGCTAAAGAAGAGCCGCCGCCGCCGCCGCCGCCGCCGCCCCATTGATATGCAGATCTGGAGATGGCCAGCCAGATACGAGATGCGAGATACGAGATGCCACCAACAGATACGAGCACATTCATCGATGGGCGTTGTAATTGATAATAAATTTGCTGGCGCCGGGCACTCTGTCTCCCCACCGGGGCGTGGCCCACATTCAGCGGCAGCCAAAGGCCCCAAATATCCATTAATATATAGATAACATATTTTTGTATTTAATACTCTAAGGTATTTTAATGCGCGCACAACTTGCATTGGCATTGGCCGACCTTGGCGGGCTTGCATATCAATTCCGAGCTTGAGTTTCTTCAGGTCTAAGTCGCTAATTTATTTACCTGCGCTCTGTGTGCTCTGTGCCTGTCGGTGCCTGCCCAACCAACGCGTGGTTTCGAGTGATATCGCGTCGAGTCGAGTCGAGTTGGCCGGCTGCGGTTGGCCAGTTGCTGGTGGATCGGGCTTGAACAATTATGAGCGGCTTGCCAAATAGTCAGTCAGTTGAATCGGGTTCGACTGGGCAGGAGGGGGGGAGGCCACTCTCTTTTTTGGGCTTTCCGATTATGCAAGTTGCACGGGCGGGGCGGCTGGGATTTTAGCTAGATTTGTAGCTGGATGTTAAGGCCACCCAAACGCCCTGCTAGTTCTGCTTTAAAATCTGCCCTAACTTTGATTAATCCTTGCATTGCATAACCATTTTGTTTACATTTTTTGAATGCCTATAAGAATGCTTAAGTTTTATTAAAAAAAAAAAAAAATTATACAGAATTAATGCCGAAAGGAGAATCTAAATCGAAAATCGAAAATCGCAAAAGTTAGCTCAACGGAAGTCTAGACAGTTTTGGAACTGTCTGCCTAGAATCCTGAGCAGTATTGTGTGTGGGGTGTCCATTTGGGTGCTGGGTGCTGGGTCCTGGCAGTGTGTGTACGTGTGTGTGTTTGTGTATATTTGTGTGGATGGATATGGATTGGTATTGGGATTTATCTACTTGCGGACTGGCCTAGCGGGCAGATAGGTGGCCTGAGCATTGGAGCCACTGAAGGTGCTGATCACCTGACGCTGGCTGCCCTCGGCATCGAATCCCACATTATTGTTGTTGTTGTTGTAGCTGGCATCCACGGTGGGCACACCGCCAGTGCCGACAATGTTGAGGCTGCCACTGGCATCGGTGACCACGCCAGAGGCGCCATTGTCGCCCAGGCTGCCAATCACCGATGACACGGGAATGATGCCCTCATTGCTGGTCTCAGAAGCCCCGCCCAAAGCATCATAGTTGGCTATAGACAAAGAGGGAGGGAGAAAGAGAGAAAGAGTTGGGGTATATGATCCGCTTTGGAGGCAGTTGGCAACACTCACCCTGAATGGTCTGCTGGGCATGAGCCGCCTCCTGGGGCGTCTTGTACTTGACAAAGAAGACCTCGGGCTTGTTGGCCACCGGCCGCTGTGTGACCACCTCGGCGCTGACATCCAGAGCGTTCGATTTCTTGGACAGCACATAGATGGCGGTCTTCTCCTCGACGGGCGCCACATTGGCAATGATCTTGGCCTTGCTGGTGGTCGATGTGGGCGCGTTGATGAACACCACACGGTAGTTCTTCTGGGGCCTGCCCACATTCACGTAGCGGACGATCTGCTGCTCGTCGTGATCCTCGGGGGCGGTGTGGATGTAGTAGTGCTTGCTGACCTGCGCGGGCTGGAAGTTCGCCAGGTGGCTGATGTACGACTCCTGCTCGTTGTAGTTGATGGCGGGTCCGGGCTGCAGGCCCTGCAGTCCGATGCTGTCACTGCTGGAGGAGGATCCGATACCGCCACCGATACCACCACCGATGCCGATACCACTGCCGATACCACCACCAACGCCGACGCCGACGCCGCCACCGCCAGACTGAGTCCAGCTCAACGAGGAGGAGGGAGCAAAGCCATTCAGCTGTCCGATGGAGGGCGCCGAACTGAAGTAGTTGGTGCCGGCGGCCGTGGGCTGGTAGGAGGTGCTAACGGTGCCAACGGTGCCAACGGTGCCAACCAGCGGGGTGCTCACCACAGCGCTGGGCAGATTGCCGTTGTAGCCACCGGCCTGGTAGCGATAGCCCAGATGGGACACATCCGGACGGGGAGCGGCCAGCGAACCGCCGATAACCGCCAGGCAGGCCAAGACCTGCAAATGGCCCGTGTGAGTGGATGAATTGTCCCCCAGTTCCTCTTTGCGGGCTGCAGCGTACTCACCACAAACTGATTCATGCTTTCGACTGGATGTGGATGGGTGAGTGGTGTGTGAGTGAGGGGGTTCTGGACAACTGTTGCTCTGGAGCTGTTGCACTGGATTGATGCGTTGTCCGGATCAAACTGTCACCTTTTATACCAACGGGGGGTGCCCGAACGGTTGCCTTTAATTGAAGTTAATTAAAGTGGTTTGCAATAAATCGTTAAAAAACTATAACACCCAGCGAACCACACAGCCAGCAGCAGCAGCAGCAGCCCAAAAGATGTCCAAATCCAAGCACCAATAACCAATAACTTCAAATCCGGCTAGCTCTCCTCCAGTTTTCTTGTTTTTTTTTTTTGGGTTTTTTTTGTTGTTGTTTTTTTTGGTTTTGATCCACCAGCGATCCAGTGATCCATCGATCCAGCGATCCATCGATCGTCCCGAAGTGCTAATTGCTGATGTAAACAGACGGCAGGCCCAAGACACAATCAATTTCTATGTCTTTGACGGGGTCTGCCAGTGGTCTGCGATGTCATCAGCTGGATGATGAAACTTGCGTGCAATCGGGGAGCCAAAATTATATTGATTAGGGGGTACTCAGGGTTCTTGATCGAGTGTCAAAAATAAGTGAAATATTGTACACCATTCAGGCTGTCTGATAATTTAGAATTGAATAGCATAAAGCTGGGATAATGGTGCCTATATTGTCACTTAAAACTGCTGATAAATCTTGCATTTCGGCCTGTTTATATTTTTTATAATTATTAAAATTAACATTAATACAGCTAGAAATAATATTGCAATTAATTAAGAGGAGCGCCTGCACCGAGGCCTTCGGCTCTCCATTTTTATAATTTTCTTCCAATGATAGTTAGCCCAAGAGCAAGTGGTTCTTGTGACACAGTTGGAACTCTAGGTTTCAGTGTCGTTCAGATCCAGCTAAGAAAAACACACAGCAGATGAGGGGATCAATGGGTCGGCATGAGGAATGTTTTTAGAAATTTATGAATATCTGTAAGAAAACTTATTCTGATGGCTAAAACGAGAGCAAATTCCATAAAATTTGAATGCTGTCAAAGTTCCAGGTGGAACTTATGAAACCACTTGTAAATTCGGACAATACAAAAATCTACAATATTTATATAGATATATTTTATGAAAATTATATTCAATTGAAAGTGCATCTTTAAATCCTTCTGAATACCCATATACATATGTATGTATGTATGCATTTCTATAGCCAAATAGTCGTCTACAGAGTATTCACCGAGCTAGCAAATTTCTCTGGAAAATTTGTACCATTTGTTTTTTGTTATATTATTTATTTTTTAATAATTTTTATGATTGCAAGAGTAGACGGACGGGACTGAGCGCCCTGAAATTTTCAAGCAGCCAAACATTTTAGCGCTTTTAATTGCCATAAACCGATACCGATACAGATATCGATTCACACATATCCCATCTATATAAACGATGCATGTACATGTGTATGTGTATGCGGATCTATGCTATAAAATATAGTATATACACCTATACATATATATATATGTATATTAATATGCAACTAACTCTTTGTTTTCTTTGTTGTATTGGCGAATTTCATGTGTGTTTGGCTTTGGGGAATTTTCGATTAGCGTCGAGCCATCCGTCCCGGGGGGTTTCCATCCATCCATACAAACACGTATAATAGTAGCAGCACCGCCACTAACTAATTGACCCGACTAACCCGAACTGGGCGCATGATACTAATTGTTACTCTTCCCCTCTCTACCCTCTCTATCCTGCCTCCCCTTAGATGGCTGGCAGCTGTTTCGGGACGCTAATCGCTTGCAGTACTGGGAGCACAAGCGGGCCCTGGTGCATCTGCAGGCCAAGTACGGCATCTTTCCCTACTACCGCATCAGTGTGGACAATGGCTACAGCAATCCCCATGACTATGTGATCACCATCGATGAGGGTCAGATTGGATTGCCGGACAAGTATTTCTACGGCCCCGATGCCGACGAGGAAGTGGTCAAAGGCTACAAGCTGCTGCTCAGGGACTTTGCCATCAATATGGGTGAGATTTAATTTAAATTCGTAATCCTGAAGCTTCCACTTCAATTTAAATATTCAATAGGCATTGTCTCGCGCGAGGCGGATCTGTTCGCCGACGATATCTTCCACTACGAGCGACGCATTGTCAATCACATTGAGGACGCCAAGGCTGGCGGAGAGCGCCAGCTGAACAGGCTGATGCGTCTGGCTGACCTGAAGACCAAAGCTCCATCTGTAGGTTCAAACTTTCGATCGATTAAATCCCTCTCCGGCTAATCTCAAGTTATGCCTTTTAGCTGCCAATTTATGAGTCACTTCAGGCCATATTTCCCAATACCAAAATCACCGAGGACACTGAGGTCTTGGTGCGTGATGTGGAGGTCTTGCATTCGCTCTCCGAGCTGCTCTCCACATCGGATAAAAAGTGAGTATTTGGTGGAGGGGGGGTGGGGAGAGCGTTGCCCTTTGATCTAACCGTTTTTTGTTTGGTTGACAGACCCATCAACAATTTTATCATTTGGTCGCTGGCCCGACAAATGCTGCCACATCTGTCCAAGGAATATCGCACGCTGGCGGAGCACTTCGATCACGCCATCTACGGGCGCACGGCCAGCTATCCGCGCTGGCTCATCTGCAGCCGGGTGGTGCGCGACTGGCTGCCCTTTGCCGTGGAGGCGCTGCAGCAGCAGCCGCCACAGCAGCAGTTCGAAAGACAGCCGGCCGTGGCATCCGACTCCACAGCCGCCTCAAGTCCACTGAACAAGACGCACGCCAATGAGGAGTATCTGCGCCTGATGTTCTACAGTCTGCGCAATCAGCTGCAGGCGTCGCTGGAGCAGGCCAGCTGGCTGGAGAGCGCCGCCAGGCAGTTCCTCAGGAACAAGCTGGACGAGATGCGACTGCAGTTCGGCATACCCGGCGAGGTGCTGGAGCAGCCCAACTACCTGCGGGACTACTACAACGATCTGATGCTGAACAATCTGTACTTTGTGGAGCATCTGGAGTCCATCTGGACGTTCCGTCGCACGCGGCTCGAGAAGAAATTGAAGCCGCTCGGCATGCTGGATGTGTATGTGTTGCGTATGCGGAGCAGGCGACTTTCTAACTTTCTAACACTTTCTCTGGGATCTCTCTCGCTCCCCCACTCTCCTCTCCGTGCACAGCATTGTTTCCGAGATGTACACAAGGGACCATCCGCAGGCCATTGCCTATTCGAACAAGTTGAATATGCTGCTGGTGTCGAGGGTTCTGATCAGCTCCAGCTACTACGACTATCGCTATCCAGTGTAAGTGCCAGTCTCCCATCTCCATCTCCATCTCATTCTCATTCTCTTTATCTGTCTCTGTCTTTTTGCTGCAGCTCTGTGAATTTTGCCCGCATTGGGACGGACATTTTGGAGGCTTTGATTGAGAACTTCTCCACATTCCTGCTGCAGTTCAACGCCCAGAGCTCGGACCTGAGCGACGCTGTGCCCGAGATCCAGTACGCCCAGCCGGATGTGAATTGTTTGGCCGCCGGACAGCCGCCCCGCCTCACCCATGAGCTCAATGAGCTGTCCAGCACGGCGCTCAAGAGCTTCCATGTGACGCTGAGTGCGGCCCGAACGGCGGCCCGGGCACTGAGCAGCTTTGTGACGGCCATCGATGCGGGCAGCGCCATCCAGGGCTCGGGCATCGATCAGGTGAACACCTACAAGGCCCTGGGTCTGACGCGACGCCTGCGAGTGCCCGGCCTGCGTTCGTTCAACGAGAACGAGCTCTTCACCCTGGCCTACATGCAGCAGCACTGCAGCACAACAATAGCCGACAAGGACTATGCCAGGATCAAGCCGCATGTGGAAAGCCAGCTGGCCGAAAGATATTTGTATGCCAATCAGCTCTCTCTCTCTCTCTCTCTCTCCTCTCTTTGCGTTCTCTTTTCACTGATTCACTGACTGCTTTGTGTTGCAGATTCAATGCCACCTGGCAGCACATACAGTTCCTGCCACGATCCACCAATTGCGCCGTGTCCGAGCCAAGCTGCTCAAATCTGCTCTGAAATCCATTCGATCATCCCCAGGCACAACCCAGCGACTGTGGATGATTTTTTTTGTACAATTCCTTAGCTCCAACAACAACAACAACAACCTACATATTTATTGTACTTTTTTTTTACTCCCACACATTGCCAGAGACACACACACACACACACACAGAGAAATAATCGCCTTAGATCTAGCGTAGAGTGTAAGCTAATTAGTTTTAGTTTAAACTACGAAGGATTAGACTTAACAATGACTAGCCACTGTTGACATCACCTGCCCCGCCCCTCCTACATTCAAGATTCAACATTCACCCACCCACTTGGCCCCCCCCCCCCGTACTCACGTTAAGAGTAATTTGAATTAAGTACGAACCAGCATAATTCCATAATTTAGTCTAGGGCGTAAACTAAACATAGTTAGTTGCTAAGCGCTGCTAAGTTGCATGCCACATACCACATACCACATACCACCCCTGTATAGATTGATGAATTTGAATTTAATTTGATACGAGAACAATTAAAGCGTGGAATGACTTTTCAACCAACTTTAAACGAAAGAATTTAGAGACTTGATAAGCAAACTACTACTACTACTACTACTACCACATGTAAAATATGTCTTATGTGTGGTAACTACAGCCCAACATCAATGGGCAAGAGCTGGTCTGGGAAAAAACCCTGGCATGATGCCACCCTTTGTGATAGACTTGGGGTATCCACAACATCTATAATTAATTATTTTTGCATACTAAATGAAGCTATTGATCGGTTGCATTTCAAATTTTAATCTAAAAAACTCAGTTAAATTCAAGGATTTATACAGCATTTGTTGACGAGAACTTTTCGGAACGTGTCCAGTTCTAAACTCAATACAGAACTAGTGTAGTGTAGCTTTGGTCAACATATTTATGTATATTCCAGATAAAACGTTAATCCACTTTAATCCTACATAAAATATGCATTTTAGGGGCTAGAAATGTTTATAATTTGTGGTATAATGCAAAATATGTATGTATATATGCTGCGTAGAGAAATACTTGCCAGTATATTTGCTTTGATCATTTATTCGTGCTAAGTAAAGATAGGATTTTAATGGGAACATTGAATGATGCCAAGGGATCTTTATGTGTGTGATTTTTTTTTATTGTATTGGTGGCTGTTTTAAACTGTACGTATAGCGGCAGTGCAGCACCATCCCCACGAAATAGAGCCGTGCAGACTATTGATCTAAAGAATTTACTTTCATTTTTTTATATCAAAATATTGCCTACTTTTAGGCTCTGCGCGAAAACGGAAGCAGCGAAGAAGAAACAGTAGCAAACACGTACGAGTATGTATGTAAGTAGTATGTATGTAGTAGTTAGAACTGGTAAAGAATTTGTATTACATTTGAAGAACAAAATTTGAAGGGTACACGATTATTATTTTGGGTAAATCTGATTTAAATTACTTTCAATTTACTTGGAATTAACGCTTAGATTAGTGTCCAACAACTGGAGAACTTGGGATTTGCTCACACTTTGAGCATACGTGGAGCACCAGAATGGGCCAACGAAGGGGTGTCTGTGTGCTGTGTATTTGCCATAAGCGAAGAGGCAGCACTAACGTCTGCGCCTTCGCTATACGGACAGCTCTTTGTCGCTGGTCTCACTGCCATTCAACGCGCAGTCCAACAAGCCGTCCACCAGCTCCAAGCTGCAGGTCATGGCCACCCTGGAAAAAAAGACAGAGAGGCAGTTTCAGTATGGAGGACGCAGATTGAAGTGTAAATAATCTCAGATCTCGTACTCTGCACAGATGTCCCAGGGCGTAGAGCTTCGGACAGTTTGGTAGAGGCAACAGGCCTGAGAATGCAACTGGAACAGGTCACGCTGGTCGAGGAGCTCATTCAGATCGGCAGCGGGATCATCATCGTTTGCCTGGGCCACGGATCGTTGAAAGTTGTCTGAGTGTTGATTGCTGCCCTGGAGCATGGCTGAGGGTGCAGTGTCCTGTTCTTCATCCTCGCTATTGGGGAAAATCATGGCCTGAGAATGTACCTGGAACTGACACCGCCGCTCGAGCAGCTCCCTCAGGGCATCGGGTTCTTCGTGTGCCTGCGCCAGAGATCGCTCGAAGATTTCTGAGGGCTGATTGCTGCCCCGGGAACAGGATGACGATGCAGCGTCCCTCCATTGATCCTCGATCTCAGGCTGAACAATGTCGTGAGCATGAAGCTGATAATCTGTAGCGGCATCTGGCCGCCGCTCGAGGAGCTCATTCAGGGCATCGAGATCGGGATCATCGTCTGCCTTGGCCACGGATCGGTGGACGATATGTGGGGGTTTATTAGACCGCCGGAGATTGGACCAGGGCGCAACGTCCTGCTCGTCATCCTCGCTTTCGGGAACAACTTTGGCCAACATCCTGCGAGGGTGTATTTTCCCTTTCCGCTGACTCTTGCGGGTTTCGGTCAGCTCCCTCTTGAGATCGAGCTGACGCCGCCGCTCCCGGCACTGGCTCACTAGCTGCTTGTGCTGCTCCAGCTCGGCCCGCTCGCGCATCGCCTGCTGCTGGCGCTCGTTGAGAGGCTGCGAGGCAGCAGCCGCTTCCTGCTGCTGGCGCCGCTTGCGCTCCTCCTCCATAAAGTGTAGCACCATTTTCTCGTCCTTGAGCTCCTCCTCGAGGGTGCGCGACAGCAGCACCTGACCGGTGCGACTGCGCAGGATCTTTGCCTCCTTGAAGCGCTCATCTTCGGTTCGGAGCTTCTCAGGCAGCTGCTGGCCGCATCCAGCCGCATACAGGTAGTCCTGACGTCCTGTCCAGATATTTTCGACATACGGGCACTCGTCCAGGCTCAGGGGTCTAGCGAGGGGAAGGGGAGGGGGAAGAAGACACAGAAGGTGTAGTAGATACATTTATAGACTTGAGTAATTGCATCAGCCTGGGATTCCAGCTGCTATTAAGTTTCATATGGACTACCGACACGCAACAACCCTTCCTACGCCCCACCCACCCCCTGAGAGTTGCACACGCGGTCGGCGCACGCACGATACATAGATAGTGGGGCAAGCAGAAGCGCCCAAGGCCAATGCCAGAAATAGGAAAATGCTAACAAATCGTGGAAAAGAGTCATCAGCTATTTTGAATACCCTGGACAGGGAGGAGACTAAATATTTCTGAGCAATATATTACCTTATTTACTTGGGGTACTTGCGTATGGGGTATGGTAACTTGGGGTAACATTTTTGATATTCTTCAGAATTTTAAATTTGAAATTTAATTTAATTTACATTAAAGTATAGCTTACAATATTTCAAAGCCCCTTGATGGCATTTTTTTTGCATTTTTAGGGACAATACTTCATATTTTTATTAAAGTTCAAGCAACGGAATTTATATCATTAAAAAAATAGTTAAATTAAAAAATAGGAATTTTAATTAAATTACCTATATTTAAATTTAAAAAATTTTAAAAAGGAATATTTACATACGTACATATATCGATTTCAGGGATATACGATGAATTTTTTTTTTTTGTTCATATATTGTTAAATCATATAACGTTAAAAGATTAAATTAAATTAAATTTAATTTCCCCCCCCCCCCCCCCCCCCCCCCCCCCCCCCCCCCCCCCCCCCCCCCCCCCCCCCCCCCTTTTAATTCATATAGAGATTTTAGCATTAAAATTTAAATAAATTGCATAGCTTTACACTACCTTTAATGCTGAAAATATCCTATATTCCAAAAACATCCATCCTATATATCTACTTTGATTTTGGCAACCTTCATGCGCTAGCCTGTGCAACACATTTGCCGCCAAGTGTATGACAACTCGATTCATTCATTCATTCATTTCTTATGTATGAATCCGCCTGGTGCCTGGGGGCATGGGGGCATGGGGTCTGGGGTCTGGGTCACTGAGGTTAAGGTTGTGCCTGTTTTGTTCTCGACTTTGTTCGCAGCTACACCCCTTCAAACCCCTCTCCATCTTATCCGACCCCTCGAATCGCAGTGATAGCGCACGTAAATAATATGACACAATCAAACTGGGAAATGGAGAAGCCAAAAACCGTAGAAGAATTAATTAATAAACACCGCCAAAATACAGTGATGAGGCAACCTCTACAGTCGGAGAGTGGGATGGATATAGATATGGATAGAGAGAGATATGGCCAGGGGGCTAACGGGCGGCGGGAGTTCTCTCGCAGCCCGCTAAATGGCAGCGCTAAAATTTATTGATCAAACAAATAAAGCGCATCAGCAACAAAAAATCGTGTCTCAAAAAATAGAAAAGAAGAACCCACAAATGACGAAGTAAAGTCATCCAAATTGAGTGCGAGAAAGTGGTCGGTGGGAGGGGATTTATCGAGGTTATCGAAAGGGCACAGCCAAAGAAGCCAGCGAAAAAGGGCTAAGCTAAATCCCAATCCCATTTGACATTTACTGTAAATTTACTGGATTAAAGGTGCATTAATGGATTATCTAAGCTTCGAATTTATTGCATTTATTATTTAATACTGCTACCACAAATCAGTCAGATTTTGATCGAACTTCACTGGATTATGTTCTAAGAGATTTACCTACCAAAAGTACTTCATGAGAGGTTGCATTCTTTTCAGATATATAGGTAGGGAAAGGTGCGCTCTCTTTGGGTAAGTTTCAGCAATGAAAATTCAACTTTTACTCTCTGGAAGTCTGTCTAATTTGTGTGAGTGAGTGAGAGGGAGAGTGTTCGGCACAGGGCAGTCATTCACCAAAAATTGTTTGCTTAATTCTTACTAAAATATAATAATCGGATCTCAATGTGTTTGTTTCCACAGTGCAGTAGATATGACCAGTTTTTATGATTCCACTTTTTCGGCTTCTTTTGTATCTTTAATGATTTGAATAACACTTTTTTTCGAGTTAAGGGGGCAAAAACCGGAAATATACTGAAATGCACACAAAATTTGGTACCTGGTTGCTCCAACTGTCTCTGACAGCCAGACATGGCTATATCGACTCCCAAATTGATGCTGATCAAGAAAATATAAAATTTTTGGGCTCAGAAATGTCTTCTTCTGGCTGTTACATATGTACATCTATTCGAATCTAATATACCCCTTTATTTTACTCTATCGAATGATGGGTATAAAAAGTTGTGAATAGATTTAGCATGGAATTTATGCAAGAGGCAGTTAATTTCTATAATAGATTTCTTTAGTGCACTAGACCAATAAAACAATAGAATTAATAAAACAATTATTATCATATCGAAAAAAATGAAATTCGATCATTTGATACGTGCAACTTTGAGACATAATTTTGTAGCATATCGCCATACCGCAGTTCTAATGGAAAATTGATAATATTAATAAGCAAGTGGTATTATTTATTACCCAAGCTCAATGAAAAGTATCAAATTTTATCGGACAGACATTTTGACGTGTTGATATCAAAAAAATGTTGCTTGGGATTTTTGTTTGGCCTTGCTGTTTGCTTGGGCTGCCCTGGGGCACGCCACGGCTGCCATATTCGTGAAGGGCTCTCGGTTCATTGGATCCTTTGATGCCCCAAAGGAGACGTAACGCTCGTTTTTTACAGCTTGCCAGACAGCCACTTCTTCAGATATATAGTATATGTATGTATGTACATGTATGAGTTTATGGTTGACACTTTGACGTTGAAAAATTCAATAAACCCCAACAAGTCGGGCAAAAGTTGTGCAAAATTAGTTGGCAAAATATAACCCTCTTATGTGCCAGGTACAAAAAAAGAAACATACATATGTACATACATACATACATATATAACGCAAATTCCAATTGCAAACAGTTGTCGATTAGCACACGACGATCGCAGTATTTGATTACGAAAGTTCTTCGTATCAGCGAAAAGACCAAACTGCAAAAACTACAGAAACAAGAGGAACAGTTGCACCCAAGAAGTGAGAGTACGACAGGGCCGAGCACAGCACGGCACAGCTCGGCGTGTTTGGGTTCGGCCTAAGCGAACCCGTCGATGACCTAAGCACCGTACACCTCCCACCATATGGGACATGCCCGCAGAAGCGGCCCTGAGCGTCGCCGCCGCCGCTGCCGCCTATCTGGCAACAGTTAGATAGTGGGCCTAAGCCTCGCGAGGCAGGGCATGTCAGCTGTCCGGACAGCCCTAACCTGCAGCCAGCAGGAGCAGCGAGAGAGTGGGAGAGGAAGTTTGCCGCTTGGAGAGAGAGAGAGCGAGTGGGTGAGAGAGAGAGAGCGCTCCCAGTTGGTAGTAAATATTATTTTAATCGCCGCCAAAGGGCGACAAACAAAAAAACGAATAGCAAGAAAAGGGAAAACAAAACCAAAACAACAGTGGAAATAGTCGGCCACGCAGGTCGAAGTGTTTGATACACTTGGCGGAACCATGGCAGCCCATGGATGATGGAGTTATGCGTTCAGAAATTGCTGGGATAGGCATGAGAGGCATACCTACTATATCTACATAAAAGCATACCTATATTACAATACATATGGTCAGTATATATACATCTTTGAGCTTGCTTGGAATATCTACAATAAATAGACGGACAGACGAGCAGAAGGACCTAAGCTGGGGTAATACTGATGCCCTGTAAAGACGAAAGAGGTCTCTAGCAATAATACCCTCTGCAAGGGTATTCCAATCAGCAGCGGCAGCAGAAGCAGCAGTGCTTTTTGTTTTGTTTTTTTGTTTGCCATCGCCTAGCAGCGTCGCTGGCAGAGGTGAGTGAGTAACTCCCAAGCAGCGGCAGCGGAGCAGCGACGACGATGGCGTCAGCGCAGCATTGCCAGCTGACGAACTGGAGAGTGGAGAACAGAGTGTGCCTGCCTGCCTGCCTGCCTGCCTCTCGCACGCTCTCCGCGCACGCAGCTGACGGCCGACGATGACATCATTTTGGATTCACAGTTGGCCGACGCTGCCGCTGTCGCTGGCGCTGCCACTACCTCTGCCGCCGTGTCATGCTGTTCCTGCCCAGCCCCTGTACAGAGAGAGAGTGCGGGAGAGGGAGAGTAAGGTACTCACAGCATCTGGAGCATCGTCAGCCTGGTGTCCCTGGAGGAGCTGCCCATGGGTGGCCGCAGCAATTCGACTATGCCATTGTCGTGCTGCTCGGCCCGCGATATCAGCTCCAGCAGCGCCTCCCGCTTAGCCGGCGGCAGCAGCTGCGGATTGCAGGCCAACGGTACCAGGTGTCGGATATGCTCCGCGTCCTCCGGTGCATTCTCCTTGCAGCGGGCACTCAGCATGGGAGAGCCGGCGGGCGCCGGCGGCGGCGGTCTGCCCGTCTGGCGGCGCACGCCCTTCGAGATATTGGAGCCGCCTCGGCCTCGGGCTCCTCCGGATCGGCGGCGGCGTGGCGGTGGACGCAGGGCAGCTACACGGTAGCTCTCCCGCTCGATCCCGGTGAGCAGCATCTCCAGCTGCTGGTGGGACTCGGCCAGGGCCTTCTTCGCACAGGGCACCATGTGATCCAAGCTGGAGCACTGGTGCGGGCGGCACTCCTTGGACTTGGCGGTCTTGCGGACTAGGCCGGTCCTCGTGCGCGGTCTGCCCTTAGCCACTTGACTGGCAGTGGGAGGCGCAGGCATGGTGCAGGTCCGTCCGTAGGCCGTTGTGCGGTTCCGGTTCGTCCCAACGCCGGCATCCGCCTGCTCCTTGCCGTACAGCAGCGACAGGTAGGGGTTGGAGAAGGTGTTGCATCCCCCGGGATGCACACAAGTGCTGGCGGGGCGGGTCTTCTGGGCTTGGATGGAGCTCCTGCTGGGTCGCACAACGGCTATGTTGGAGGAACCGCGCGCCGGCGAACGCTTGTCGCTGTTCCAGTTGGAGTTCCACACGGGACTCAGGCGTGTCCTGCGCTGCTGCTGCTGCTGCTGCGGCTGCGACTGTTGCTGCTCGCGGCGCCTGCGCGCGAACGGCCGACGACCGGCACCCGCTGTTGCTGGCTCCATTTGGCGCTCGCTGATGCCGCTGCTGACTGCGCTGCTGTGTCGCTGCTGCGTCACTGCCTTGGCGCCTGCTCTGCGCTGCGCTGCGCTTCGGTTTCTGTTTCAGTTTCTTGGTCGTCGCTCGCCGGTTCGGTTCGATTCGATTCGACCCGCCTCGTTTCGATTCGACTCGATTCGACTCCGCAATTCGCAATTCGCAATCCACAATCCGCACTCCGCTGTTTTTCGCGACTGCCTTCGCTGCTGTTCGGCTATTGTCGCCGCCCTTTCTATCCAACTATTCCGCGTTCCACTCAAATTTCAACGGTACACAAGAAAACATACAACTAAACAACTAAATAAAAATAAACTAATTAATGTTAATATTTGCAGCAATTACTCGAAATTGTTTGATTCAGTATTTTGCTTTATATTGTTTGACAGTTTTTCAAAAGGCGTTCGACACTGCCTCAGCGAGGGGTGTACGGAGAGTTGCTGGCAATATATATTTTTTTGGCAAGTATAATAACTTCTGGCAGAGCCGTAGAAATACACGCCAATAGGGCCACAAAAAGCAGCTGCAAATTCTGCCTAAAGCTCTGCAAAGAATTAAGAGGAAAGCCCTTAAGCCAACAAATTATTTGAGTAGTCCGGAAGAAGCACGTCTTCTATTCACCATCCAAATTCAAATTCTTCCAGCATATCCAGCATCGTATTTTGTGTGGCAAGTTTCCGCAAAACCTTTCAGCAGAGACTCCAATTTTTTTTTTTTAAGTATTATTTTATGTGTGTGCTTTTGTGTTTCTTTTACAAATCAAGTCATCCAATAAATATACTTCAACTGATTGTTGTTTTCTCAGATTCAGAAACAGTTACGAGTTGAAGCTACGAGTACAAATATTTTTTCACCAGTTAAAATCTCTCTCAAGCGAAATCAAACAGCAAACAAACAAACAAAATGGTAAGTCCCCCAAAAGATCTATCCAAGTATTGTAAATATAAGCCGGGAATGGGTAAGGGGGTGCTGCGCGCTACTCCAAATTCAAATCACTTTCCAACTGGTCGCCCAGCTGGCTGGCTGCTCCAGTCTAAAGTCCCCCCCCAGTTCAATCCGATCCACTCCACTTCACATCACTCCTACCCGATCCAATCCAATCCGAGCCGAACCGATCCGATCTTCTGCGGGGGCGTAGGCCAAACAGGTTGGAGTTGCTGTAGATTGCTCATACGCCGCATTGGTTTTACTTTTATTTTGGCCTGTCTTGGGTTTTCCGCTAACAGCTTTTCTGCTTTTCACCTCGAGTGAGCCATGTGTGAGCGGAATTTCGGAGTGTTCGCCCAGACACCAAGACACCAAAGCCACCAAAGACAGCAGCTCCAGCGTCATCCATTTGGCTTTTGGGCAGCCTACCCAAAAAAACAAAAAATAACTAAAACTCACGCACTCGCCAATATATGGTCTGGCCTGCCTTATTAGACTTTATGTTAATTACCATACTAAAAATACAAAATAAAAGAGAGAGAGAGACGCAGAGGCTCAGCGGCTACGTACTCCTCATCGGTAAAATATTTCAAGAGCCATCATCAAAGTGCGTCCCAAGTGGGCGTCCTCCAACTCTGGTTACAGTCTTTATATGTTTTTATTTTTGTTTTTTTTTTTGTTTGTTTTTTTTTTTGGGAAAATTTCAAAAACTGCTTTTCAGTGGGCGAAAGCAAAAGTTTGAGTCAAGGGCCTGGCTCTCGGTCTCTCATTCCTTTTATACAAAATGCACGCTTAAAACTAAGCCCAGAAATATTCTGAGCGGTGTGCGATGGGTGATGCCGATGGTGATGTCATACACACTTTTTACACATAAATATCATCAATTTACAAAACGATTTATTTGTTGTGCGATTAATAAAATGAGAGCCATATAAATCAGGCAGCTTGGAGAGCCTGCTTAACCTGAAGAAGATCTCGCAGAAGAGTCATCAGCAGAATTATCATGATCATCATTTAGCATGATCACTTGGCAGAGAGAGAGAGAGAGAGCGGGAGAGAGAGCGAGAGTGAGAGTGTGTGTGTGTGTTTGTTTTTTTGATGAGAGCCATAACGATTGATAAACGGAAACGGTTTATTGCCCTGACTAACGGTGCTGCGGTTGGGCTTGGCTCTGGCTCTAAATGATCTTTGCTTGGGATCATCTTTCAAAGATTTTGCTTCAGTTGAGTGGCACCCACGGCAGGTGTTTATCGCTGAAAAGCAGTCGAAGGGGTGACTCCCATCAGCTATGTGCAAATATTCTTGACCAAATCCTCGTCCTGTTCCGCTGTCCGCTGCATATATCCAGCTACTTTCAAGGTCACATCCTATCCTCTGCTATTCCCTTTCTCATTCTCCCTTTTATTGAGCACTATTCCCAATTTATTCCTCCACTCTGCCTGCAATCCCGTTCAGCTTTGCAGCTCAGCTGCTTTATCGATATTTCGTGGCAGGTTTCGCTGCTGATTATCCGCAGATGATCTTATTCCAAGACCCAAGACAAAACCATTTCGGTATTTCACTCACAGTTTAAATGGTTTTATGGCCATTACGTATACGCACTGTGTACACGCGTGTGCGAGATTGTGTGTGGGATGGGGAATCTGCTTGTTGGAGGCGTCTGCTACAAATGCTACAAATTATCTGATCCAAGGCAACAGTAGCCCCTCCCTGACCCACAAACCATCATCCACAATTGCTCCCCGCTGATTGACAACTTTGATTGATGCCCGAAGCATGGCTGAGCAAACAGAGAAAACAATGTGAGAAGCAGAGTATAGCACTTGACGCCTACCACAGGCCTGCTGCGCTACGCTGCGCATCTCTCTCTCTCTCTGTCTCTGTCTCTATACTCATCTTTGGATCTATATCTCTGTGACTCTTTCTCAGTCCCTAATCCCCTATTGCCTGGGTGCCTGGGTGCCACCTCATCTTACCATCTGTAACTCTGGGTAATCTGCCATCGTTCTCTTCCAATCTGTGGCTGATCTCTACTCTACTCTCCTTGTCCCTTTACCTATCCCACACGAAAGTGTGTTCTCTCTCTTTGCCGACAATTGTGTGGCATTGTTTTTGCTGCTTTGCTGCCCTTGCTGCCATGATTCAGTCTCTCGATAATTTAATTATCGCTTATGAATAAATAAAGTACAAAAACTGTGCAATTGTTTCCTGCCGCTGCCTCTGATGTTTTATTGTTGTTTTCTTTATGTTTCTGTTTTACTTTTGTGCTGCACCAATTGTTCGCCTTGCCACAGCGTAAGAATTGCAAATTTTATTTGCGATTTTGCGATTGCACTGCAGCTGCCTGCACTGATAAGAAATGCAAATTGTCAACAAACAGCCATAAGAAATGCACTTGCAATTGAGCTGAGGGCAGGCGAAATCGGGCGGCAACCCCAAAGTGCAAGTGACCCAAAAAAACGGAGCGACAAAGTGGAGTTAAGTGGGGTAAGGTACTATCACAATGCGGGATCTTTGATATATCAATAACATGGCCATCAATCCTATACGACTGCATGCCTTCAATCTTCAAATATATCTTTAGATATATATCAATATATTTGGTTATTTGATACTTTGCCTTTGCCTAATCGCCTTTTGTTATGGGTTCAAAACAGTTCGTTTTGAGGTCAAACTGATGGCTTTTGTTTCGGGTTCGGGTTCGAGTTGTAGTAAGAGAGAAATATCAATTTATTTGCCAATATATTCAGATATTATTGGCTGACTTGTATGCAAAGTTTAATCGGCGCAACTTCCTTCGAAAATCGTTTGATAATAGATTGAAGCTATTCTTTATTTTACAGCTAGTTTTTATAGCAAATATCTATTGCTGGTAATATTTTGAGAAGTCGGAAATATTGTCTCTTAGTATTATTTTCTCGATCGATTATTCCTCCAAAATTATAGAGAATATTTATGCTTCAATATCTATAGGAACTCCCTGCCCATCCCCCTCCCCATGTGCCTAAAAATTTCGTTGAATTTATTGTTCCTGCTTCGGCGAAAGGGCATTGGAGCTTCGACCTTTGTGTCTGTGTGTGTTTCGTTTGGTTGTTGAGTTTTTGTTGAGTTTTGTTTGTTTTGTTTGCTGCCCATTAGGCGCTGAAAAATTTTTCTTAATTTTTTTTTTCGTATTTTATTTTCGTTGCTTTTGTTATTGTTTTCTGGAAGTGCTGCCCTTGGCCGCCCCCAAAAACTGACTTACTCCCCCTCTCCTGCTCCTGCTGCTGCTGCACGACTGCGCCTGCTGCCTGCTGCCATCTCTGTCTCTGCCTGTCTCTCTCTCTCTCTCTCTCTTTCCGCATCTACGCGTGTGTGTGTTTAATTCGATTCTAACTCTAGCGATGATCTAAGTGAGACGTCCGTCGTCTATGCAAAAGGAATAAAACGAACAAAAAAAGAGAGCGAAAGAGAGCGGAAGAGAGCGAGAGAGAGAGCTGATATTGTTGCCACATCTGGCGCGAAAATTTTAAGCGGATGGGTTGGAAAGCCGGCAAGGGGGGGAGGTGTGTGTGGTGTGGTGCTCGAAAAACTTAATGTGCATTTAATTTGTGCAAATTAAATTTTTGGGCAAATTGCGAATGTGCGGAAGGGGGTGGGGGTGCTTGTGCGGTTGCGGGGGGACCTAATGTAAATAAGATTTCCCCCCCCCCCAATTCGAATCGGATCGGATCCGTAGGGGGTGTGGTTCCCTGCCACAATATTTGCTGATGTTTCATTCAATTTATTGTGATATTTATTTTTTATGATGATTTTTTTGTTGCATTTTTATGAGCATTTACTGAGCGTTTACAAGCCCATAAACATGGATCACTTTGCCGGGGGGATCTCTTCAGGGCGACTTGACACTGGGCAACCTCGAGTGTGCGTAGATAAAAAGTATCTCCAAATGGTGGCCATTTACCCAATTTCCCATTTCGGCCTACAAGGGTACCTCTTGGGTGGCCACTGGGGCCAACACCACGGGCTGATAATGGCTGGAACGTGTTTAGTTCGGGTCCAAGTACAGACGGGTGCATTATGGGCAGGAAAATCTGCATGCAAAGAGCAGTTGGAGATGGCCAAAAATGGCACTCTCCAAATGGGTTTGGTGGGGGGGGGAGAAACGACAAAGGCAGGGCCACACCTGCTAATGTGTAAAAAGGGGAGCTTTAAAGTGCACATGGGAATTACTTTAGCAGAACTTTCATAGCCACCCACTCGGTACGAGGGGGGGCACAACTCATTATTGTATAATATATTATTATTGCTGCTGTTTTGTAAATTATTTTACGCTGATGCTCATCATTTATTATACTATATATACATACATTCACATTCACTGTCACATTCACATTCATCCGTATTCATATTCATATTCATATTCTTTGTGTTGAGGCCTTTTGGCATTTGGGTATTGAGTTACGTAAAATCGCTGGCTGCTGTCGTCTGCGGTTTTTGAACTCGATTCCGTGTGACATGACGGAGAGACAAGCCGAAGATGAATCTTACAGTCAGCCCCTCCCACCACCAGTCACCCGCCCCTTCACAGCACCGAAAACAGAATTATTTATTATGTATTATGAAATATTTCAAGTACGTGATTTTCATTTGAAATGAATCGAAATTAATATGGTCCCTCGCCTTGTCTCTCTCTCTCTCTATCTTCAGGCGGAACCAACATCTATCTGTCACAAGTGTAATGAGCTAATCGAGGAGCGCATCATCACGGCCCTGGGCAAGACATGGCATCCAGATCATTTTGCTTGCAAGGACTGCGAGCTGCCCATCGCGGAGGCCACGTTTAACATTCAAAATGGGGAGCCCGTATGCTCGAACTGCTTTGTCAAGAACTATTCGGGCACATGCTTTGGCTGCAAGCAGCCCATCTTGGAGGTGAGTAGCAGTACCAGTCCAGTCCAGTACCAGTCCAGTACCAGTCCAGTACCAGTCCAGTCCAGCCCTCTATTCAGCCATCCCTTTCTTGCCGTTCATTCAACAATTTGTAGACGCGTAATTCTCATCGTCTGTTTGCCATAAACTCTGCGGCTTTACGAGCTTCGATGTAATGAATATTGTCAACATTTATCTTGCGACTCTTAGATACAAGTACATACATACACACAGACATATGTACATATATACATATACATATTTAATTAGGGAAGTGATTGCGATTTGTATATTCAGCCTTCTTTCTTTTTATTTATTTCTGCTGCTTCAAGCTAACAATTCGTACAACTATTTTGCGTTAACTAAAATTTGAATATTTATTAATTTTGCACAAAATCTTGTTCTTTGGAGGGCTCCAACTATACGCCGGATTATCACATGTGCCGCGCTAGCAATAATATTTGGCAAGTCTTGCCTTGACACTTTCATCTGAAATTGAGTGGGAATTTTGTTATAAAGAAAGTTCCCTACGGTCTGAACTACTTAACTAGACATAATCAGATATATATTTATTCAGATTTGCTCTTTTTAGTGCTTCAATTAAATCTGCCATTAATGCTGAAAATTACCTGAAGATTTCAGGTCTTCTTTCTTGCTGACTTTTCGGCATGGGAAAGGTACTTCAAAGTTGCTGTACAAATACTTTTAACACCTTTTAAAAATCAGTAAAATTCTGCAACGATTTATGGCCAACGTAAAGTGTATTTCCCCATTCCATGAAAGTAATTTTCACTGACTCCTCCTGCGCGCCGGCTCTGCTGTTTGCCCAGCCGCAAGGTCAGCGCAGCTCAACGTGGGTGTGTGCGCGATTGATTGGCTTTGATTATGATTACATATTGTATATACTATGTACATACGTATGTACATACATATATATGCACAACTATGTATGTATATTTGTACTAGGCATGTGTACATTGCATATGCACCATTGATTTTGTCTACCCGTCTGGCCACTCTACTCTCTCTTCAGTTTTGCCCGAAAGTATGCCAAGCAATGCGAATATTTTATGCAGATCTTTGCTTCCTTCCACAGCGCACCATCAAGGCCATGGAACAGTCGTGGCACGAGGAGTGCTTCCTGTGCAATGGCCCATGCAAGAAGCCGCTGGCGGGCACCTCCTTCTACGAACGGGACGGACATCCCTATTGCCGTGTGGACTATGAGCAGCTCTTCGCCGCCCGCTGCGCCGGCTGTGAACAGCCGATCACCCAGAATGCGATCGTCGCTCTCAATGCCAAATGGCATCGCGATTGCTTCAAGTGCAAGGTAAGTGGATGGAAAACCCCAACCCCAAACCCAAACTCTTCTAATTCGATTTCGATTGCAGAAGTGCGACGCTCCCATCACGTCCAGCTCCTTTGCCGTGGAGGAGAACAAGCCGCTGTGCAGGGCCTGTTCTGGCTAGGAGCTGCACCAGCACTCGCACCAGCACCCAAACCCAAACCCACACCCACACCCACACCAGTTCTACACCCGATTCACTTCAAAATCTTTTGTAATATATGTATTATTATGGTATTTGTTAGTCATGCAATTCGTTGAACAAGCCCCGAGGACAGCGCGTAAATAAAATTCAGAAGGCCCCGGCCCCGCCCCCAGACACAATTTTTTGGATTTTTGGATTTTTGGATTTGGATGAGACAAGAACACGAGAAATGCATTTGAAACACCTGCCGGGCGCTGCAGCTGTGCGCTTTGGGGCCTGAGGCTGAGCAGCAAAATGACGATGGATGTTGGATGGAGGTGGGGAGATGTTAATGCTTAAATTAATTATTATAATACTTTTTAGTGGATATGCACCAGCTATTGTGCACACTCTCTCTCTCTCTCTCTTTGGCCTTCCCCCTGCCTATCCCTCCCATTAAACGAATGTAACCCCCCCTCCCTAGAGCCGCTCTTGATTGTTTTCGTAGTGCACAAAAGTATCTGATAAATGAAATATGAATAAACATTAATCTTGAATCATTGGAAAGTCTCCCACATATGGTGCATAAAAGTGTGGGTGCCCCTTTGCTAGTAGAACGGGCGACGGGCGAGCTCTAGCTAGAGCAGAAATAAAATATATCAATTTTAATTATTAATTAATATTATATATTATATTATATAATATTATTATATTAATATTATATATATATTATATAATATAATATTATTATATTAATATTATATATATATTATATAATATAATATTATTATATTAATATTAATTAATTTCTAAGCTTCTTTAGTTGCCGTGCAGAGAGCTCAGAGGACTCACGCTGTTTTTTATCGCTGTTCGCCCATGCGTATGCGTAATTTGTTATTGGCTGCTGAGGACAGACTCAGCGCCTGCGCCAAGGCATTGACTATTTATTTATTCTATTTATTATTTTATTTTTATTTATTAAATTATTTTATTTTATTATTTTATTATTTTTATTTTAATTATTATTTTTATTTAATTATTTATTTTATTATTTTTATGCCCTCAAAATGCATGCACATCCATTCGTATGTATCTGCAACTATAATCAATATAATTTCCTTTATTTCCACGAGTAATACTTTTTAATTTGGTTTTGGTTTTGGGTGCAGTTTCCCTGCCACTTTTCACATGCAAGTCCATCGTGGGCTGGCTTAAATATTGCTGTGAATATCCTGTCTAATTTGGGTTAAATTTCGCGGCTTGTGTCTTGCCAAAAGCTTCACTGTATAAATTTTGAGAAATTAAATTCAATTGAAATTAAATGTTAAATTTAATGTTTTGGTATCTGGAAAGGAGAAAACGGAAAGAGAGTGAAGAAAAGTGAAAGAGATTTGCTCATAGAAAGATTCTTTGGCTTTGGCTGGGGCTAGGGCTTACCTTCTCGTCCAGTATGGTGCCAAGCGAACGCATCAGGGGATCGAGCACCTGATGCACCTGAGATCTGGACACGTGGCGGAATGCCTCGAGCAGCGCCTGCTGCAGCTCATCCTCCTTCTGGGCATGGCGGCTGTCCCTGCTGTCCCTGGTGCCCCTTGGCCCCTTCTGTTCGGCCAGCTTTGCCTTGGGCAGTCCCAGCCACTTCATGTACGGCAGCTCATCCATTTCCACCTGCGTCTTGACATCCTCCAGGCCCGCCTGCTGCACCAGCATATCGGGCAGATTTTGAGCAGCATTTTCGGCACCGGGTGCGGTGGCGCGGGCCACGCTGGCCTTGGTGCGGACCAGACGGGTGCGCTTCAGCTCCTGGGGCTTCTTCTTGGGCACCAGCCGCGGCTCGTACAGCTTGTGATCGTTGAGGCACATCTTGAGGTCGAAGTTCTGCTTGTGCTTCCTGGCAGGAGCATGCTTGGGATGCTGGGTATGCTGGGTATGCTGGGGATGCTGGGCATGGGGATGGGGATGGGCATTGGCCTGATGGGTTGTCGCCTGCTTGTGGGCGCGTCGGTACTGCTCGCGGGCCAGCTTGAAGCGCTCCTCCTGCATGTCCTCGATGAAGGTGAGAAACTTTGTGGAGCGCTCCTGCAGGCACTCGACCACCGGATCGTGTCTGTCCAGTATGCCCTTCTCCAGGCACGTGTTGCTCAGCGTGTAGATCATCTCCATGAGGGCGCTCAGCTTCTGCGGCACCTTGTCCAGCAGGAAGTAGCGCAGCTGGCGCTGGTACGTGGCAATCGACTGATGCATCAGCCCATAGACGCACACCACCCGCTGGCAGGCCTCGTTGGAGGTGGCGCTGTGGAAATATGTGACCGGTGTGCGCCGCACATCGTCGATCATGCCCTTCAGCGGATAGAGAAAGTTGCGCGAGAAGCGCACACAGAACTCGAAGGCGTTCCGCTCCCGCTTCTTTCGCTCCTGGCTGTTGCACTCGGGCACCTGCAGCTGCAGCAGGCTGTTCTGCAGGCGGTCCAGCGCCCCGATGATCCGCTCCTGGGTCAGCGATATCTTGTTGTAGATGCCCAGCTTCTCGAACTTGAGATCCTCCAGCGACTGGCTGCACGCCACCTGGCGGCACTTGCGACGCGTCTTCTGCGTCTGCGTCTGCGTCTGCGGACTGGCTGTGGTAGGTGGCAGCGGGGCAGGGACAGGGACAGAGACAGGGACAGAGACAGGGACAGAGACAGGAACAGGGCCGGGCATACCTGAGGCCGAGATCGATTGATTGGGCTTGTCACGGACCACAGGCTGGCGCGACTGCTGGCTGGGCTGCTGGCGGCGCGGAACGCTCGTCTTGTCCCGCCCGCCCGGCTGACGGGTGGTGGCCGTCACGTCCATGCCGGACGATTGATCGCGGGGTCGCGGCGCACACTGCTTGTGCAGCATTTTGGGCATCTTCTTGTGCAATCGCTTGACGCTGCGGGGACGCGGCAATGGCAATGGCAATGGCAATGGAAGTGGCAATGGCAATGGCGCCTGCCGCCGGCTGGGAGTGTGCAGCGTCTCCTCGGACGTCTCCTCCGATCGCTGGGAGGTGTACTGCAGCGGACTGAGGCTGCGCAGCAGACTCACCCTGCGCGGACAGCGTTCCATCTCAAAGAAGATCGGCCGGTGCTGGCACTCGGACAGCAGCGTCTCCGCCGCCGTCTGGCTGGTGGGGTAGCTGGGCCGGCTCTCCAGCTGGTCGAGGTAGCCCTTGCGGTCGGCGTACTCGTGATCCAGGTCGCTGTCCTCGCGAAAGAACGGCGAGGTGGGCTCCGGCTCGAGGCTGCGATGCTGCTGCATAAACTGGCTGGCCGCACAGCAGCTGGGATTCAGGGCCTTGCAGACATTCACCTCGATGGCCTGCGCCATCATCGCCGAGGGTATGACGTCCACAAAGCACGCCTCCGGCTCCCTGTACTGCACTTGGATGGCCTTTTCGGTTCCCTGTTCACTGCCGTCCCCCTGGGCATCCTCTGGTTTCGCCTGCAGCGAGAGCTTAAGCCGCTGCAGCACATCTTCGGCTCTGATCGGAGTCTTTGGCTGTGCCTGTGCCTGTGGCTGTGCCTGTGGCTGTGGCTGAGGCTTTGCACCCTTCCTCAGCTTGGACGGCACCTTCAGCTCCCACCTTTGCACACTGGGCGGCATCTTCAGCTTGGGCAATGCCAGCCGCTCCGGCGGGCCCCTCTTCTCGACCTTGACACGACGCGCGGCCAGCTGCAGCGGCTTGACGACCCTCAACATTGGCCCGTGTGCATCGTGTGCGTCGTGTGCGTCGTGTGCCTCGTGCTGACTCCTAAGGGGCGACAGCGAGTCCAGCTCGTTGCACACCTCGCGGTGCAGGGCCTCCAGGCGCTCGCTGGCAATGCTCTGCTCGCTGGGCTGGGTTTTGGGCTTCTGGCTGTGGCGGCACTTCCTGGCCGCTGGCTTCTGCTTCAGCCTGAAGGTGGAGGCATGGGGATGGAAGTCGCAGCCAGCGCACAGACGCTTTCGCTCCACGATATTCACGGACACATCCAGCAGCTGCTGAGGCGGCTGCTCCTCTGCTGCTGCTGCTGCTGCTGCTGTTGCTGCCGCTGCTGCTGCCTCCTCGTCGGCATTGGCCCTCACCGAGAACTGCGTCTCCACATCCAAGTCGCGCGACGTGAACTTGCTGAGCACATCGTGGCCGGAGCGACGCACCTTGCAGAAGATCGGACCGTTCGATGCCTTGCAGTCGTCCCGCAGGCGACTCTGCTCGGCCAGCTCGGCTGCCCGCTGGTCGTTGTGGCGCTTCACCGCATTCTGTATGGAGTCCGGACCAGCGAACTGGGAAGCCGCATATTAGTGGTTAGTGGTTAGTGGTTAGTGGCAGGGGCAGACGCAGGGTCATGGAATGGAGGCGGACTCACCCGAAACTCAAACCTGCTGCTGCCCATGCCACCGACCTCGGAGTCAGCGGCTGCTGCATATCCGCCGCCCATTGCATGATCGTAGCTGCTCATCGTGCTCCGTACTTCTTACTCGTTGTGGGGTTTTTCGCTTCAGAATCGAGGAGATTTTTTCATATATATATATGTATTTTTTGTCGTGCAAATGTTTGAGTTTGATTGTAAAACCGGACTAAATTTTGTCGAAGCTCCGCTTCTAAAGTGAGTGAAATATTCCCAACGACAATGAATGCTGATGATAGATTTCACACGGAAAACTATGCGATCGAGTGCGAGTATTAATCCGAAAGAGAACAAACAAAGAAATAGATGCGATACGATACGACTGGATTGGACTTGGATTTGGATGTGTTTGATGGATTGCACTGGGCAGAGCGGAACGCTTTATTGCTGGTTCGCTCCCAATAAATAGTGGTCACAATTCTAGAGACTAAGAGTAGAAACAAAAAATCCTTACAGACTACTGGCGACGCATCAGCATCAGCATCAACATCAGCATCAGCATCAGCCGAATATATTCGAGTAGAGGCTGTTCAGCCCATTGCTGATGGTCGAGAAGATGCCAACGTCGCTGGTGGCAGCTGCCGCATATGGCGGCATCTGTGGCCTGTAATGCTGCGGCGCCTGAATGGGCCTGTACATGCCGACGCCCGGTAAGCCGCCGACAGCTCCGCCAACGCCGCCAACTCCGCCAACGGATACCATTGCACCGCCAATGCCCTCCATGCGCTGTGTGGGAAAGGGCAAAGAGTACATTGATTTGGGTTAAGTTTATTGTCCACTTTGTTGGCCAAGTTTCTGTTTTAGTTACACTTAATAACAAGCAACACTTAGGCGTACGGGGGAGCTGGGCTTTCGGTCCTCCTTGCACCAGAATAAAGCTTAGAATTTACATAAAGTTATTACCATGGAACCAAGTCTGCAGACAGACTACTTGGGGAAGGGTGGGAATTATGGGTGGAAAGCAGGAACAGGGAACAGGAAGGCAGGGCAAGGAATCAAAGGCAATGGATAAGGCAGCGAAAAGATTAAAAAGGTGCAGCCAATAGCAGAAATAAATGAAATAGTGGGAATAAATGGGAATATATATGAGTAAAAGAAGTAGCTAAAAAAAGAGTTAAAAATATAAGTAAAATCAAAGTAAAAGTGGGAGCCAGAGGAGTCCCAGAAGTAGTCAAATCGGAGGTCATATCGGGTAGGGTTGGGTTGGGTTGGGTTGGGTTAGTGCACCATTGGGACACCTTAAGACTAAAGCACTTCCGAATGTATTTACATTGCCAGCCAGTTCGATCGTTGCCAGATCCCTGATCTAGTTCGTGGACAGCTGCAGCTTATCGTTCACCCGACGCGACGTTGCTGTGGCAACGGCTGAAGCTGCCAGCAAGTACGGCTTGTGGGATTGGATGGGGGAAAAGTGTTGGAGGGGGGGCGGTTAGCCAGCACCAGGAATTAAATACTCGTTAGCACAAGAAGCAAAAGGAAACCCCAAGGCCTACCTTTGAGGGCTGCAGCGTCACATTCAGCAGCGTGGGATGCTGCTCCACAATGACGAACTCCACCTCGCGCGGGGCAAAGCCCTCAGCAAAGACCTGGGCGCAAGCAATAAATTGAGAATGATTAGAAGAAGAGTAGAAGAAAAGAGAAAGAGAATAAATACCTCCGCCTTGTAGTAGCCGGGCAGGAGAATGCGCCAGAACTCGCCATATTTGGTGGTCTGAAAGCCGACGTCGCGTCCCTTGATCTTGATGGAGGCCCGCTCAATGGGCATGCCCGCGGGATCGAACACAAAGCCCTGGACACCGCGATGCGCCTCGGCCAGGAATTTGATGAGCGACTAGGGAATGAGTGAGGAATCAGCATCAGGGCAGATGCCCCAGAGAGAGAGAGAGAGGGAGGGAGTATTGTAACGTACCAGCTGATTGTCCTCCCAGTATTTCTTCAGCTCGTAGGCGGGCGGAAACTTGCAGCAGGAGATCTCCAGTGTGATCTCCATGCAGCCATACCACACGTAGTTGTAGTCCTGCATGCCGCCGGTCAGCGGATACCAGGCGGCGCCATTGGTGATGCCATTCTCGAAGGCCGGCGTCGCCGATTTGCAGGCAACGCCGCGGGACATCTTGGCATGGTTGCGGGCATAGACCAGCGACAAATGCTTCAGCACATCGTCATCGGGTGTCAGCGATGGGGCCGCCGAGTAGGTCTGGAACACTGCACCCAGGGGACATGTGGGTGGGAAGAGAGAGCGAGAGCGAGAGGGAGAGGGAGAGGGAGAGGGAGAGAGCATGTGCGGTTAGTTGGTTCGCTCTGGCAGCAGTCCGGTGTACTCACTCGCGCACAAAGCGGACGAACGGCAGATCCCTTTGAGCAGCCATATTGGGTGTTAGAGTACAAAGTCAGCTTTATAAATCTGATCTATCTCTCAATAGCGATAACACACACACACACACACACATACACATCTGTTATATAGAGAATGATCTGAGCGAAGGACTTAAAGGTAGGAAGAAGGTCTCCCCACAACAGAGTCTGTGGATTAGGTGAACGGACACAGCGGACACAGCGGACACAGCGGACAGCTAAACTGATCCTGAATCTACATATACGTATTATTAGCTTTCATCTGCGTGGGCTTATATCTTGGGCCTATCTTGGGCAGGCTTTTCTTATTCACTTTGCGTTTTACTTTACAGCCAAAAGGCATGACTTTCCAGGCTCATTTCCAGGCGCTCTGCAAGCCGCGAAAGTCGATTAATTTGCCTTAGTGCCAGGCATCTGGCGGTTTATCGATAACCAAATCGGGACTGCCACAGCTGTGCGGAGGCATTCACTTTTTCTTGTTGCAAAGATCTAATTTTTTTTCAGATCCAATTTTGAGGTTGGTTTAAAAAAAAATCATCTATAAAAAGTGCCCAAGCTCAATTGCCCTGCCAATAGTGGGAAATTCATGTCAGTGCATTAATAAGTCTTCTATTTTTTTGGTTTTGCCATTAAGATTCGCTTTGTCGTTTTGCAAACGGAAAGGGTCTGGCGTTTTGCGTTTTGCGAATGCGGGAGCACCTAAAGTTTCGTCTTGAAATGCAAATGACACATTTTTTGTGTGTGTGAAAGTGAAAACCAAAGCCTGTCTGTATATCTGGGGGCGTGGCGCTATCCGCGGACTACTTACTGGAGTTCGGGGTGTTGTCGTAGGGATAGCTGGCCACCAGCGCACCGCCATGCAGGCTGCCGCTCAGCACGAATTGTATCTTGGATATCCAGTCCTTGACCGCATCCGTCTCCGGCTGGCCCCGCTTGTTGTTCTGCTTGAAGTAGTCCGGGAAGTTGCGATTCAAGTCGAAGCCGCGTGCATTGTATCTGCCAATGGGGAGGAGGAATTTAGCATTGGGGGGAAGGGAATAGGTTTGGGGGCGCAGTTGCTGTTCGCTTACCTGCCCTGACCGCCGTCGCAGGTGCCCTCCTTGGAGACCGCATAGCCGTCGGGATTCATGGTGGGCAGAATGTGTATCCGCGTGTTGTCCAGCAGCCACTTGACGTACTGATCGGAGCTGTAGCTGGTCACAAAGTACTGGATGAGGTGCAGCAGCATCTCGCGGCCCACGGGCTCGTTGCCATGGATGTTGCCCACGTACTTGACGTCCGGCTTGCCGATCATGTGCTCGTACGGCGAGGAGCTGACCACCATCACCCACAGATCGCGGCCCTGGATGGACTTGCCAATCGAGTAGAGGGCCGTCAGGTTGGGATACCTGGCACTGGTGGCTCTGTGCAGAGAGGAATTAGCAATGGCAGGGCAGAGCTGTGGGCTGGGTGGGGTACTGGGCACTCACCTGAGGAAGCGTGTGAGCTCCTCGTGATCGTGGTAGACAAAGTCGAGGTTCTGGGAGTCCGGCATGTAGGCCCTGGGCTCGGGCAGCGCCTGGAGCTGCTGCTGCTGCTGCAGGTGCAGCTCGCCGCCGTCGGGATTCACCGTCTTGGCGCTGGTCGGGGTGTGGCAGGATGAGGCATGGATGAGGATGAGGGCGTACAGCTGCAGCCACTGGCCCGCGTTGCTCTTTCGCAAGATCATGTTGGGGCGACGGCGAGTCTGCGAATGCACAAAGCTGCCCGCCAGGCAGACCATTTAAGTGAAACGAAAAACAGTGCACAGATGAGCTGCTGCTGACGAGGATGAGGAGCAGGCAGACAGGCAGGCAGACAGGCAGACAGCCAGCAGGCCAACTCAGCCAACAGGTTGTGCGGCTGACCAAATCGAATGTGCTACGTGCCACCATCAGACGGTCGATCATTGGCCTCTTCTCTGTCTCTCTCGGTCTCTCTCGGTCTCTCTCGGTCTCGGTGGCTGTGCCACTGAAACGTGTTCCCTCTGGGCAGCGATCAGCGATCGTAGATCGGCGCTTGGCGATCCGCGATCCGCGATCCGCGATCAGAGTTCATTGATACCAGAGTTCCCAGAAATAGATCATACCACCAGCCATGCCCCACCCGAAGGCTTCTGCGGCTTGTCTTATCAGCGCCGTCAGGCTGTCACCGGATGACACTATCCGAACCCTATCTGCGGCCCTGGCCGCCGATAAGATACCTGCCAGGCCTCCCAGGCCTCCCAGGCAGGGCGCCTATAAAAGCCGAGGGCCTCGACCAGAAGAATCACCGACGACCAACCAACCAACCATGAAGCTCACCCCAACCGCTGGGCTCATCCTGCTGGCCTGCTGCCTCAGCCAGGCCCTACCCCAGGCACGTGTGGCCGGTGGCGAGGACGCCGTGCTCGGCCAGCTGCCCTACCAGGCGGCCCTCTCCATTGGTGGCAGCTACAACTGCGGCGCCGTGATCATTGCCGAGCGCTACGCCCTCACAGCCCTCACGTGTGTCTGCTCCGAGGGCAAGAGCACGCCGTAAGTGCACGGGATTGAAGGGGCAGGGGCAACTCATCTCCGCATCTCTAATCATTGCATCCTTTGTGTGTACTTTCCAGCTGGTCCGCCAATCTCTTTGGCATCACCTTCGGCTCCGTGGATCTGTACACGGGCGGCAGGGAGATTCGCGTGGAGGAAATCACCATCAATCCCAGCTACAACACGCTCAAGACCGGCCTGGCCCTGCTCCGGCTCAAGGAGTCGATTGTGTTCGATGAGTACGTGAGTGCCGTGCCCCTGGCACGCGAAAACCCGCCAGTGGGCGCTCAGGTGGAGATCTCTGGCTGGGGACGCACCACCGAATCGGAGGCGAGCATGCATCGCGCCCTGCAGATCGGCCAGGCCGACGTAATGCTCGGCCGCGAGTGCCGCATGGGCCATGCGGAGCAGGAGCCAATCGACAACGACCAGGTGCTCTGCCTGGGCCATCAGCGGCGCAATGGCGTCTGCCGTGGCGACATGGGCGGTCCGGCCGTCTACCAGCAGCAGCTGGTGGGTCTGGCCGGCGAGATGCTCGGCGAGTGCGGCGGCCTGCTGCCCGAGCGCTTCGTCAGCATCGCCTCCAACTATGATTGGATCCAGCAGCACATCCAATAATTACCGAAAATATACACCAAATATTCAAGCAACAAATGAGTGACTCGAATGGGCCCCAGCCCGCGCTTCAACAGGGAAGAAATGTGGCAAGAGCTGATCAACTATATATTTTCTGTATGCTTATACGTATACGTCAGGAAATGACTTTGGGACCTTTGTCCCATCGGTGTTCCATAATATATGACTCGCTGATAGTCCGTCGCATGGAATGACACTTGGATTACATCAAAGATAAATACACGCGGTGGCGGCCAAGCAACAAGCGCCTCAAAGAGGCAGCGCAAAAGGTACGACCATTCCAGAGGGAACTTCAATGCACACCACACACTCGTGCAATTACTCTTATCAGATTAGATTGTGTCCATTGAGCCAATACAAGAAATAAGTCTCGTAAATTAGACCAACATGAGAGGGCCAGTAGCGAAGCTCTCAATACCCTGGCGCAAATGCACAGTTCCTAGCGCAGCTATGCCCATAAATGTGGCAACAAATTCAACTGAAATTGGCTGCAACAGCCAGCCAGTGAACAGCCAGCCAGTCCTCAGTCAACAGCCCATTCAAATGCCATAAGTAGCAGCACTTTTCTGATCGATTTGGCGCTTCAAATAATTTGTGTCTCTTAAATATTACACTAGTCAACAAAACTGACCTTTTTGGAAAGAATTGCTGCTCCAAAATACTGAATTAATTGTGACTATTTTATGATTCGAATTTTGTTTGAGGAATTCAAGCAAAAGGAAGCAATTTTCTATTTGTTTTAATCTGTGCTTAAGCTTGCTTAAGCCTAGTTTATAGGCACATTAATTGCTTCGTAAAGCCAATCAATGCAGCTATGAATCAGCACTAGAAAATGTTGTAGCTTATGCGGAAGGGCTTGCAAATATTAAGCAATAAAATAATTTAAAAAGGGTAAATTTAATCGAAATTTAGACTCTAAAAATCGTTTTACATTGGACCACATTTTACATACCGATCGGTACATAAATCTTGTTTTTTATACCCGTACTCAAAAAAGAGTTAAGGGGTATATTAGATTTGTGGTAAAAGGGGATGTGTGTAACGCAGAGAAGGAAACGTTTCCGACCCCATAAAGTATATATATTCTTGATCAGCATCAATAGCCGAGTCGATATAGCCATGTCCGTCTCAATGAGCGCCTGTATCTCAGAGACTATAAGACTATACATAGTAGATGTAGATAACATATGTAGAAAAAAAATGTAAAATGTAAAATTTTTTTTGTTCAATTCAAAAATTCTAAAAAATCATATGCTCTAAAATGTATGTACTGACTGAGTACGGGTATAAGTAGTCGCTTCTGGGGACGCGACTCACACGTTCCTTCTCGTTTTTTTTTTTGGTTTAAATATACTAGAAATTGTGTGCAATATTTCCATTAATTAAATGGTATTAAATACCATTTCTCTTAACAATAATTAAACAATTTTGGAGCCCCAAGTGCCAATTGGAAAAAGTTGATTTGAGGTCGGTTTAAAATGGTTTAGTCCTTAAGGGAAAGACTGATGCTTGCCGACTGATTGTTGCGACTGAGCAGTGATCAGATTTCCTTATCCCAAGTCAGGAATATCAGAGAAAACACAAATGAAAATCTCTGTTTGGATTGAAGACTCTTTTGAGATAGATTCAAACTAGAACTGTTGAGGGAAACTACAACTGAAAGCTTTCAAGCAATATTGGGCACAGTTTGGACCCATGGAGAAGACCCTAGAGGCTCCATTCCCACTCCCCATTCCCTTTGGGGACAGACTTCAGCCCAGCTCTAGCTGCAGCTGTCAATTGAAAGACAAGTTTAGCTTCACTTGGCCGATTACTGGGTTTATTGGGGCTATGCACTGTTCGCGGCTATCCAGTCGAGGTGCTGGGTGACATCCACGTAGCCGTCGGGCTGCTCGGTGCCGCAGCCGGTCACAAAGAAGGCGGCAATGCCCACCAACTGGCCGTTGTAGATGGCCGGGGAGCCGGCGTCGCCGGTGCAGAGACCAGAGGTCTGCCCCGCGGCATCCGACTCGGGCACCAGGCAGAGCAGATCCTCGTGAGCGAGGTACAGCGACTCCTCGCACGCATCGGCACTGATCGACTGCCTGGCGGCCACCTGCAGCCGGTGGCTGAGCGGCCCGTCGGGCAGGGACGAGCCCCAGCCGACGAAGGTGATCTGGGAGCCGGCGGCAGGACGCTCGCTGGCCAGCACAATGGGCTGGGTATTGGCGTTGAGGGTCAGCGGGGCGGCCAGCTGCAGCAGGGCCAGGTTGTTGGCCCCCGAGCCGTCGCTGGAGTAGCCGCTGTGCACCACGATCCGGGAGAGGGCCACCAGCTGGCCCCCAGCCAGGCGCTGAATGCTGCCAGCGCGCACGAGATAGGAGCGCGCGGGATAGCTACGGGAAGAGAGATTAGTGGCTGGTCTGCTCTACTCCAGGACTGTGGCGCATTGCTACCTTTCCTGCCCTCCGCCCAGGGTGACACTGTGGGCGGCGGTGAGGGCCCACCGCTGGCTGATCAGCGCTCCGCCCGCCACATGGACTCCGTTGCGCTGCAGGGAGATGGCATACGGACGGGAGCCGACGTCCGCGAGCAGTCGCGTGGCCTGCGCGCCACCACACACCAGGACGAGCAGGACGAGGAGGAGCAGCTGCTGAACCGAATGCATGCTGGCTGTGCAGGGAACTGAGAAGTCCGCTCTGTGGACGGCATCCCTTTATAGAGGCGTTTATGATGCCGGGCAGTGGGTAAGCCATCACCCGTAGCCCGTAGCCAGTAACCCGTAACCCATAGCCGAATCTTATCGACGGGGACGGCTCGTAAATTGTTGCGTTCCTTATCGTGTTGTTTGTGCTCAAGATTAGCCTGAAGAGCCAGGGCTGTGGCTGTGGCTGGGGCAGGGACTGCGACTGCGACTGGCCGTGGAGTGGCCATCGATTGGGCCATTGGAATCAGTTGATATTCCAACGCCATGGCTGTTCCACGTATAGCGCTCGCTGGCCCGCTGCTTGCCCTGCTGCTCGCCGTCTCCGCCCTGGCCTCGCCCGAGGGCCGCCTGCTGGGCGGCGAAGATGCCGCCGCCAACGAGTATCCCTGGTCGGCCTCCCTGCGCCACAACAAGGCGCACACCTGCATGGCCTGCATCATCTCGCCCAGCCAGCTGCTCACTGCCGCCCACTGTGTCTCCGATTTGGGCACCACTCCGTGAGTATTCACAGTCCGCTGCCCAGTGCTGCATTCCACTTGTAATTCCCAACTCTTGTTGCAGCGTGGCTGCCAGCAGCCTGGGCGTGCGCGTGGGCAGCATCAACCAGTATGCCGGCGGGCAGATCGTCAACGTGCAGAGCGTACTCATCCACCCCTCGTATGGGAATTTCCTGCACGATCTGGCCATCATCACGCTGACCGAGCCGCTCGTCTTCACCGAGCGCATTGCGGCCGCCACACTGCCCGCCAAGGTGGAGGAGGAGGGCGAGGGCGAGAGCGGGGAGGAGGAGGTGTCCACGGAGCTGCCCAACGGCACGCCCGTCTATGTGGCCGGCTGGGGCGAAATCTCCGATGGCTCGACGCCCTACAAGCTGCAGAAGGCCAACTACGCCACGCTGAGCGCTCCCTACTGCGAGCTGGCCGCCGGCTATGGCTACGCCTCCTGCCTGTGCCTGACCAGCGCCGAGCGGCAGGGCATCTGCCGCGGTGATGCCGGCGCCGCTGTCATCGACGACGACAAGGTGCTGCAGGGCATCACCAGCTTCCAGTTCTCGGACTGCGGCAGCGCCTACCCGGACGTCGCCTCGCGCATCTACTACTATCTCGACTGGATCGAGGCGAATGCCAAGTAGGGCAGGATCCAAATGGCAGGATCGCAGGATCACAGCCTAGATGTTTGCGTCTTTTTTTTTTTGTTTAATTAATTTTTTTCATGTGCATAAATTGTGTGTTTCCCCTTGTACCATAAACAACAAGAGAAAAGAAAAAGAAAAGGCATAAGTCTGTTTCCATGGCTAATCCAAAAAGTGCGGAGCAGTGCCCGGTTTAGGGGTGACACTTGTAGGCCATAGAATTTAGTGGCGGCCATAAATTTCACCTGATACTCGTAGTCGTACTCGCCGACGTAGTCTGATAGTTTTTACGGCATGATTGGCTGGCGAAATACAATTTCCCTGTGCAAAGGTTCCGCAAATGGCGGGACGAGGCCTTGATGGGTCAATCAGCTGGGTATCGGTACGTTAATTGTGAAATATTTGTAGCTGTTACTTGGGCTAGGGACACAGAATAATCCCATAGCTAACCCTGAGAAATATGCAGAGAGTTTCCAAACAAATGGCAGCCAAATGGCAGCCAAATGGTTTGCCCTATCGCTGCACATTTAACTGAGTCACAGAACTATTTCCCATGGGAGTTTCTTTCTATTAAATGTGTATCAAATGTGCTCCCTGATTTGCTTATCGATGCGCCATTGATGGAGATCTACGAGCTGCGGCAGCTTCTTGAGTGTTCAATCGTCATATTTAGCGGGAAAGAAACGCAAATCGGCTGCGACTGCGACTGAATATTTATGGCTGCTAATCGAGATTGGAGACTGATAGAGATCTAAGGAAAACCCCAGCACGGATTCTTATGGTGGATTAAGCACTGATCAAGCACATTTTTAGCCATTGCCATTTCAGTAAGAGATTAAACAATCATTTGGGTAATTAATTATGGTAGATCTGCTTTATGGTTAGGGTACTCCTGAAGGGAATTCCAGGGCAGCTAATTCCAGGGGATGGACTGCTGCCAGCCTTCGCCGATCGCAGGGAGAGACGCACTCAGACTCTCCAGTAAAGTTTGCATAAGCCCGATGCATATTTGTGGATCTATATTCTGTTGTCTGGTTGCTTTCAGGGGCTTTTTATTGCGCCCCACTTCACAGTCAAGTTTTGCCTGCTCCGCAGCGGGCTGACTCAAAGGCTTACTCATCCCTATCTTACTTTTCGCAGCCATTGTCTTGTCAGGGCCATAGATCTTTGGCTGGGCAGAGTGGGTGGTGGGGCAGAGTGGGTAGAGGGGCAGAGGGGAGTGGACTTGAATTGGTGCGAATTGATCGGGCAAATAACATCGCCTAACGTCCAATTTAGCTTGCCAAAGGAAGCGATAAGATTAGATTTATTTCGATGTCCAAGCCGCCCGATAAGACCAGCTAAAGCGAGGGGTCTGCTCTAGAGGGGGAGGGGTGCGGTGCTGCGTGCTGCTGTCCACTTAAATTGGCGGCCTTTGCGCTACGCTTATTTCAATTCGAGCGGTCCGTGCCAGAGGTAGCACCACCCCACCAGACAGACCCAACCACACACAGAGAGATGATCCAATCTAGAGGCCTTGTTGTTGCACTGCTCTGCCTGGCTGTGCTGCTGGGCGGCTGCCAGGCGGCTGGCCTCATGGACCGCATCCTGGGCGGCGACGAGGCCAGTCCCACGGCCACGCCCTATGCCGCCTCGCTGCGTGTGGACAATGCGCATGTGTGCAGCGCCATCATTGTGTCCGGCACCAAACTGGTGACCACAGCCCACTGCACGCAGCGCGAGCTCAAGCAGTAAGTGTCTCAGGTACCCTCCCTCAGGTATCGATCTACCTCTAACGCGAGACTCCCGCTCCCTCTCCCTCTCCCTCTCCTACAGGATCGTCCCCAGCCGCATTTCGTGCCGCGTGGGCAGCACCAACCAGTATGCCGGCGGACGCATTGTCTATGTGGAATCGGTCACCGTGCACCCGGACTACTATGAGCTGCAGAACAATGTGGCGGTGATCACGCTCACCTCCGCTCTGGCCTTCACCGATCGCATCCAGGCCGTGGCACTGGCCAGCGGCGATGACGAGCTGCCCGCCGTGGGCAGCGCCGTCAGTGTGGCCGGCTGGGGACGCACCGTCGAGGGCAGCAACTCCTACAAGATACGCGAACTGGCGCTGACAGTGGCCGCGGAGGCGGACTGCCTGGACGCGTACAGTGGCCACGACAGCAGCAGCTTCTGCCTGGCGCACGCCCTCAGGCAGGGCACCTGCCACGGCGACGGTGGCAGCGGCGCCGTCTACAATGACAAGCTCATTGGCCTGAGCCACTTTGTGGTGGGCGCCTGCGGCTCCCGCTATCCGGATGTGTTCGTGCGGGTGTCCAGCTTCCACGACTGGCTCCAGCAGCAGATCGCCTAACAGCCAACTAACACGGGAGGGGGGTATGCCACAATGTCTAGTGATGACTCGTGATGCAGTTCGAGGCCCCCATGGACATCGTTTGGGGCAGCGGCTGACTCACTCTCCCGATGCTGATAAGGATAAGGTGGCACTGGCGATTGCCCCCAGACTGGCCCCACCACCCCCAATTCCGCATTAAATTTTTATGGGGCTCCATTTATGGCACACTCATTAGAAGCTTGCTCAATGCAAATAAAAATACAAATAAAAATAAAAATAAACAAAACATATTTTCAACACCCAAAGAGCGATGGGCCCATGGGCAGATCGTTCTCGAGAGAGCACCCCCAAGTGCTTCCCTTTGCTGGGGCTGGGGCTGGGGCTGATGTCACAGCCCTCTCTCTCTGCCTTTGAGTTGCGTAACTGAGTCGCCGCTGCCTAATCGAGACAGACATTAGAGCCCCGAGCCCAGGTGGAACTTCGATAGCGACTTGTGGCTGTCAGACTGATGATGATGATGATGATGATGACAGGGCCACAGGGCTAACCATAAATAAACGTATCCCAGCCGAGATACAGCCACAATCCCTCAGTCCCTCAGTCCAATCGAAAGAAGAACCCAGGAACCCAGCAACCCAGGAACCCAGCAACCCAGCACATCATGGCTTCACGTAACTTGGCATTCATTTTGCTGCTGCTGCGCTGCCTGGCCGGCGATAGCTTCGCCCTGGAGCTCGACGATGACGCCTCGCCGCGCATTGTGGGCGGCACGCGGGCCGTGGCGGGGCAGTTTCCCCACCAAATCTCGCTGCGGCGCAACAATCGCTTCACCTGCGGCGGCTCCATACTGTCGGCCAGCTACGTCCTGACAGCCGCCCACTGTGTCAAGTCGGGCCGCAATGTGTAAGCGAACTCATCCTCTTGCCTGCCCCTCATGCCACCACTGAACCCTCCCCACCCCTCTCTCTCCTGCCCCGCAGCACTCCAGCCTCACAGCTGAGCATTCGGGCGGGCACCTTGCGGCTCTCCGGCGGTGGAGTGCGCGTGAACGTGGCCCAGGTGGCTGTGCATCCGCGGTACGGCGGCTCCGGCCACGATGTGGCCGTGCTGCGCCTGGCCTCCGCTCTGCAGTTCAGCTCCGATATAAGGGCCATCGCGCTGGCCGGCAGTGATCCGCCCAACAACGCCCTGGTGGACATCTCCGGCTGGGGGGCCATCTTCCAGAACGGGCCCGTCTCCGATGAGCTGCTCTACGTGCATGTGCGCAGCCTCGCCCGCGACACCTGCCAGCAGACGTACTTCAGGCGGCTGCCCGAGACGACCATGTGCCTGCTGCACGAGGCCCAGAAGGGCGCCTGCCACGGCGACTCTGGCGGCCCTGCCACCTACGACGGCCAACTGGTGGGCGTCGCCAGCTTTGTGATGGGCGGCTGCGGCAGAGCAGCGCCCGACGGCTACGAGCGCATCTCCGTGCTGGGCCCATGGATACGCCAGACAGCCAAACTGTAGATGGCCGATGGGATCATCTGCCCCTTCGGCTTCTCTCGCCAATTGTAACCGTTTTTTTGGGAACAGTAAAGAGCGCCAACGAGCATTATATTCAGTCTGCCTCCGGCTCTGCCTCTGCCTCTCTGGGGGGGTTTATCAGAGCGCGACCTCTGCCCCTCCCTGCAGCCCAAGTGAAAGTGAAAATTGGAGTCAGCTCCAAAGCCAAAGCCAAAGCCAGCATTAACTACAGCTCTACAGTCCCTCCCCAGCTCCATTCATGTTGTAGCTCGGTAATTTTCCGTTTATTTTTAGTTTTTTCTGTTTTTCAACGGCGTCTCTTTCCCCACCTTTCCCCCCCACCCATTTAATGAGTTTGTTTTGGTTTTCATTTAACTTGTCTCAACAGACAAAAACTTTCGAGTGGCGGGGCTTTGGCTTTGGCTTCGTCTTCGTCTTGGCCCGGCCCCATACGAGTATTTTCACAGTTTATTTTTTATTTTGTTTGGTACCCATCCCAGAGGGTATTACGATTGTGTGGAACGCAGCCCATGCCACTGTAACTGAGTACTGCATGTGAATATGCACTCGAACTTATTGCAAGATAGCCAATTCCTAGACAAGGTTTCTAGCTCCGCCTGGGCATGGGCCTGGGCATGGCCACGGGATCTTTCTTTCCATATTGATTATTTCGTATAGCCAAAAATCAATGATAAACCACTCCAAGCAACTGCCCCCAGCAGCAGGCAGGCTGTGATTTGGCAGGGTAGCAGCATGGCCTTCGTGGCTGGAGCTGTGGCTGTGGCTGGGGCTGTGGCTGGGGCTGTGGCTGTTGCTCCTTTCTTTCTCGTTTTGTTGTTGTTGTTGTTGTGCATTTTGGAGAGTTTTCATTATTGTTGTATTTTTACTCTGTTCGTTTTTCTTGTGTGTTTTCCTCTGTGTGCAATTATCGGATCGGATCGGCATCGGCAACTCATGAGGTTCGGTTCGTGTGGCGTGGCGTGGCTGGCTTTGAGTTCATTTCATTTCGTTTTTTTCTTTTTTCTTTTTTCTCTTTTTTATTTGTGAGCCTCTCTCGTGTCCGTGTCCGTATGTTGGCCTGTCCGCCAGCCAAGTGTGAAATGCGGCTTTAAAATGCAATTCACGCGCGAGTCATCGAACCTTTTTTTTTATTTTTATTTTTATGTTTTATTTTTTATTCAAGTCGAGCTGTGTAGGCAATGGGCATGGCAGAAGCAGAACCACAACCACAACCAGAACCAGAACCCTTTCCAGTGACTGAGTGTGAGTCATGGGTGGAGTGGAGTGGGGTGGAGAGGAGTGGAGTGGGGTGGAGTGGAGTGGCTGACCTACTCATGGGACGATCATTAAACGGCCACTGAATGCTGATTAAAGCTGTTCCCATTCCCACTACCATTCCCCTGCCCATTTCTCCCTTGCGCTTTACTTTCATTCAATTTATTTGCCACTTCGTTTTTATTCACAAATAAATTACTCATTAAAACCAACAGCCAAACTACACCAAATAGAATTAATTTGGAAATTCATCTCAAGTTTTCGCTGACACATTTGCACCTGTCGCTCAACTTTTAGGGGATTCCTCTGATTTCTGCTGCCAGCAAAACCACTCAGAACAGATTATTGGAATATATATTATGTATGTGCCATGGGCATGATTGATCGGAAGTCTGTACTGTTTCTGTGGGTTAAACCCACAAGCAGACGTTGCCCGTGTGTGCAGCCCAATGCAATTGGTTTAAAATTGAATAATAATCCTACTGGCAAGAGTCTCTGCCCCCAAAGGGTGAGCTTTTTGCTCCTATTCGTGCGGCTGATTTGTCTCGCTCAATTTCACTCGGCTGGTCCATGGCTGTGCCACCTGGAGGCATCGCCTTGGCCATGGCCGCCAGCTTCAAAAGTCCAAGCGTGTCGCAACATACAAATTTCTTTCAATTAGGCTCTGCCCCTCCCCCCACCACCCTGTCTGAGTGTGAATCTGTTTTTGGTTGGTTTTTGGTTTTTCAATTTTGATTAGCATGGAAAGTAATCGATGGACGAGTGTCGTCTTGGCCAAGAGCAAGCAAGTGGCTTTTAATGGACAAAGAAAAGCTAAAGCCGATCAGAAGCGGGCACTGCTAACGGGTTTGCCTGAATCCGGGCCGCGGCTCCCATCTGGAGGTGAGTAGAGCTAAAGAGAGAGAGAGAGACAGCACAGACCACAGACCCCCAGCTCCACACCACTCGACTCCAGTCCAGTCCACTCCAAGCGAGTGGAGCGAGCAAGTTAACCCACTAACCTTGTTACCGCTAACCGTTTCGTGGTCGCATTGAAAGTGGCTTCTGCAGCGGGCCAACAGGCACACACCAGGCCTGGTTGCTGGCGGCCTCTGTCAAGTTCAATGCTGCCGCGACAGAGATTGGCCCTGACGGAGGCCGTCTGCGGGCAAGGCCAAAGGACAGCCATGGGCGAGGAGGAGACATGCGCACTGGGTTAGTGGGTGGAGCGTGTGTGAGCCCTTGACAGGCAGAGGGTTGGACTCCCCCTAGCTGGGGAGCTGTTTATATAACAACAAAAAAACTGCAGCACGACCTTCACCTTGGCAGTGGCAGGAAACAGCACACAGCAGCCAGCAGCCAGCAGCAGGACACACGGATAAGCGTGCAGCAACAGCAACAGAAACAGAAACAGAAACTTAGCCATGGCCTTGTTCCGCCAGTGGCAGTGGCAGTGGCCGTGGCATCACCCCCCCACCCAATGGCACACTGGCTGGCTGTCTGACTGGCCTTGATCTTCAGCTTTCCCACTTGCGGATGGGCTGGCAGAGCGACCTCTTAGAGACGTTTTCTATATACAATTTGTGCGAGTACAAGTTTATTACCTGATTTCCTGCGACTTCCTGTTTTTGCTCGACGACTCTTTCTAGCCCAACGATTTGTTGCCGCTGCCGCTTCTGTCGCTGCTGCTGCTGCTGCTGCTGTTGTAAGTTTTCCCGCGAAGTGGCTGCAATGGAAATTTGCATAAAATATTCAATCAGATTTCATTGTCTCCGGGGGCTGCCTATGCCTTTGGCTTGTGTTGCCTTTGCCGGGCTTCAATTTCTTCACACCAAAAAAAGCGACAAAAAACAAAAAAAATGCAAACAAATAAATTTTTTTTTCGTGTAGTTTCTCTTTACGCCTACGCGTTGTGGCGCCCAAAATTAGCACTGGACTTAGGACTGGCCCACAAACAACAAAAAAAAAAAACACGCGACACTGACGCAATGGGAACGGGACGGGGACGGGGCACGGATGATGGGATGTTAGGGGCTTGGGGCAGTGGCAAGTAGAGTGCCAGGGCCTTGCCTCCCAAAGGAATCGTTCAATGAAATTTAAGCGGAAGCTTGAAGCCGTCTTGACTCAATTTGTATTTGTTGGCTTACACTTTGCAGAGATAGAGCCAGTCACTGACGGTTACGGCGGGGGTAGGGGGCGGGGCTGCAGAAGCAGTAGCAGTAGCAGATTGTGGCAGAATTTACTTTGGCTGTGGCAGAAGGCAGAAGGCGGAGAGAGAGCAACTTTTGAAACGCGTCCGATTGCTAGCGCCGTTAGAGTTCGACTGAACTGTGGCCAGTGGCGCGTCTCGTCTGCTTTGTTTGGGCCATGAATGGAGACGGTGCTTGAGGCTTGAGGCCCCCCCCCCCCAAGCCATGCTTCACTCCATGAAATTTGTGTGCTGAAATTAATTGCAGCACTCTTCGTATGAAGAATCATTGTTTTAAGCAATTTATGTTCAGGTTTTAGTCGCCGTGAGAGCGCCCAACCTTTGAAAACCTTTCGAAACTGCCCATTTAATGGCAGGCAGCTTTGGTCAGCCAGCAAACTCAAAGAGCCCGCTTCAGTTTCATAGCAATCGACTTGCTGTAGCGCAACAATTTCCCTGGTCGGGCTGATACTTTTTAAAACATATCGATATTTATATCGAAATATGAAGAAATACCTTGGTTCGATTTTTTGAAAATATTAATTTTTGTAATGGGTAAAAAAAAACATGAGGAATAAGTCATTGAACGCGGTTTAAAGACAGTTTTTAAAAAGCTTGTCATTACTTTAGCGCAATATATGGTATAAAAACATAAATAGTGATTAGTTTTTGTGTGTAAAGTTTATTTTATAGATAATCCAGTAAAAGGGACTCTTCGAAATTTGCCAATCTTGTAAAAAATTGATTCATCAATCAAAACAAATTATATGTTCAGTGCTCAGAGTCCTAGCTAGCTATTAATATTAAATCGAATATCAAAATTGAGGAATATGATTTCGATTAACAAGAGATAACGTTAGCCCATTGACGCCCAGGGGGTACTTAAATTTTCAACGAATATTATGAAGCTTGAAGTGAAAGATATCGTGGTAATATTTGTTTGTAAGTAAAGATGAAGAATGGATCTACAAGGAGAATTCACAAACAGTAATATTTTCCGCAGTTTTATTTAAATTGTGCACCTGTTTAAAGTGAAGGCGGCTGAGTGGGTTAATTGCATTTGGTAAGTAATATAGTATATTTCGGAATAGTTTGGTATATTACAGTATATTTCTGAAGGAAAGACGGGTATATTTTGTCGAAACGTCCGCGGTCACACTGTTTGGAACTTGCCGCGGGTCGGTTGTGTGCCTGTTTTCGCTCGTTTTTTTTTTTGGTGCGCAACTCAAAGTGAAACCGCAACGGAAATAGTTAATAACAATCTGCGTGTAAATTACGATATTTTCCTTGATTTTAGTGTTTTTTTTTTTGTATTGCCAGTGTTTGTCTCTATTTGCTCTCCGTGTGTGTCTGTTTGGGATGTTTGTGTGTTTGCTGTCTCGCTTTGCCATGCACATTTCAAACGCAATTGCATCTCTCTTGGGCCCAGTGTTCGTGTAGGTCAAGGTGAGGCAGCAGCAGCAGCAGCAGCTGCCTGCAAGCACCGTTAGTTTCTCAGCCCCTCTTCTCATTCGCTCATTGAATATGCAGTTTTCAATCAGTGGGAAACGGTGTCAGCAGGATGCACACAAAACAAGCAGCAAAAACAAAAACAAAAACAAACACACAATACGGAGTACTCCTAATGTTCCCCCCTCGTTCCACTTGCATTGAAACCCTAAAAGTCAATAATTGCTTTGCAGTTTTTTGTTTGTTTTGCCATTGCGAGCTCTCTTTAACCACTCTCTCTCTCTGTTGCTCTCTCATTCTTTCTATTAACACCAGATTCCGTCACCTACGAGAGCGATAAGCGCAGCTAGATAAGCGCAACCGTAAATAACGGTTCAACAGTTTAAATAATTAGTTAATGGACACGATCATCGCTTGGTGGCAGCAGAAGCGGTAAAGCAGTAAAAGCGGCAGCACCAGCACCAGCAAGTTGCAAGTTGCAACTGCAACAAAACCCAGACAAAACGGCGTTCCTACAGCAGCGGCGCCTCTTCGGCGGCGGTAATGTGTCATCAACATCAATGAAACACCAGCCGCCGCCTCCTCCGCTGCCCTTAACGCAGCCCCCTCCGCTGAGTGGCGGTGGCGGTGGTGGTGGCGGTGGTGGGGTTGCTTCTGGTGCTTCTGGCAGCGTCATCAGCAGTGGAACCAGCAGCAGCAGCATGGTGGCCAATGCCATTAGCAGCCTCAATGGCAACACCAGTGCCACCAGCAGCAGTTGCAACCAACCAGCCAACAACAATCACAACAACAACAACAACAACAACAACAACATCATTATCAGCAGCAGCCGCGGCAGCAGCTTCGAGTCAGGAAAATGTCGTCCACCCCTCTACCCGAAACGTGAGTAAATCTGCTTAAGGGTGCCAACAACAGGAGGGGGGGAATACCAGGGAGGGAATGCAGCTTCCAGTAGGATACATGTCCGGTAGTTTTCCTGCTATCGGATTGATATTATCGATGGGGAGATCAGAGCCGTTTGAGCCAAGGAATATTCTCCATGGGATCTGATCTCCCTTCGATTACGTGGACGTGGACGCACTTCAGCTTCAGGGCCAATGGGCAATGGGCCATAGGCAATAGGCAATAGCTACTTACTGCAGCCGTTTTCCCAATCCAATACAATCCACTCCGATTCCAATCAAGCAAAAGCATGGAAAGTCGCCGCCAACTTCCTTTCCTTTTTTGTTTCGTTTCGTTTTGTTTTGGCTTGGCTTTCGCCTTGGTTTTAGACGTGGACTTGTACTTGGTCTGCGGATTGGGGTCTGAAGTCTTCAAGTCTTGGGCGTCTCTGGCGTTGTGTCTAGCTCTACTGCCTTTGGGTCTTCGAGTTGTAAGCTACAAAGCCAACGGCCCATTTTTGGTGGGCGTAGACTTTGTTTTTATTTTGCATACCCTTTTGCGGAAGGGCACTATGATTATGATCGGCTGTTGGTAGCGCACAGAAGTCTCTCCAATTAATTCTATATACATTTCTCTCTCTCTACGTGGGGGAAGGGTATCGTCGTTCTGCAAAGAGTATGACAAGTTTCGGTTTCGGTGCGCTGCGCCGTTCCTTTCTTATTTTCTAGCTGACTGCCGCACCCAATTGCAGATCGCTCGGCCCTGGCGATGGCAGTGTGTGGGGCGGGGCGGTGCGGGGCAAGGTAATGGCAACGTGACCGCAGCTAACGGTACTCCTAGTTGACATGTCGTTAGTGTTCGATGAGCATTTGTGCCGCTGTCGATCGTAGGGGGAGGGGAGGGAAGTGACCCCTTAAACGCGGCCCTCTGTGACTGTGGCTGACCAAGAACGGGCAGCGCCCCAGCCCCAGTCACAGTCACAGCCAGCCATAGCTTTGGCCCAGAAGCAAACACGATAAGATAAACAACATTTAGCCAGAAACTCAGTTGTATTTATTAAACGAATACGAGTACGAATACGAGTACGAATACGAGACGACTACGTGGGTACGAGAGTGCGAGACAGCTCACCGAATCGAATCAATTGCTTGGATATTAAAGGAATAATGTTCGCATTGTTTTTAGTGGGTTTTGAGTCACTTCCAATTCTAATGCGCACTTCCATTTATCCATTCGCATGGATTCAAGTTGCAGTTGCATTGTTGTTTGGTGGCAATTAAAAATGCAGCAGCATTATTAGCATTTAAAAGCTCATTAAGAGCCAAATAAATTCATTGTTATGCCAAATGAATACACATGTTCTCCTCGTCTGTTCTGCTGTGCTCTGTTCTGTTCTGTTCCCGATGTCATTCATTGTTCTTCCTCTATAAATAATGTGGGGGCGTTTGCATGAGTCTCGGAATAGGAATGGGAATAGGAATGGAAATGGAAATGGGAATGGAATTTTCATAGCAATTAGGGAAATCAGTGCATTGAGCTGTCAAATGTTCTATTCGAACTGGGCAAACTGGGCAAAGGGGTTTTTAATGTAAAAGGGAGTGGAGGGAGCTGGAGCTGTGGCACACATTTTCGGTGTTTGGATATTATAAATAGAAATAGAAATAGAAATGTAAAAGTGAAAGAATGTCAAACTGGAGACCCACAAAAGCTTCTCAATTGTGTTGGATTATACGACAATTCTGTGTATTCCCATCCCCTCTATCCACTCTATGCCCTGTGTTTATATTTTTAAAGTTCCATTGGAGTTCATTCCGGCATTAACAATTCCATGGACACACACCAGAGTCTGTCTGTCTGTCTGTGTGTGTGTGTGTGTGTGTGTGCCTTAAATGGAAAAACTAAAGAATTCTGAAATTGAATCGAAAACCCAAAATCGAATGCATATAAAATAGCTCTTGATACTTTTTGGTATTTTTCCAGCCTCGACTAAAAAATGTTCACAAGTGAAGTACTAAGTGGGAATGTTTCCAGTGGATGTGCCAACGGTGCCATACCCCCTAAAACAGTTTAAACTTTAAAGAGTAGAGGTTGTTCACATAGAGCATTGCCACTCGAACACAATATACCCTTGGGTTCAGCGAATGCTGGATACTAAAATGCAGTCTAAAGGCAGGAGAAAGAAGGAGGGAGGGAGGCTGGCTGGCCTGTAAGGTGCCAAGAGATGCAGGAGAGGAGGCAGGAGAAGTGTACTTGGGCAGCAGCTACTTCAAATGCCTTCCAATTGTTTGAAAGTTTTCAGCGTGCCGCGTGGAGCAGCAGCCCAAGGAGCTGCCAGCAGCCAGCAAGCAACAGCCAACAGGCAACAGCCAGCGGTGTTGCAACTATTTATGGAACAGTGCAGCAGCAGCAGCAAGGCCCAAGCGATTGCCCTTGGATGTGGCTACCTCGTTGCAGTTTGCTGTCGCTGTTGCTGTTGCAGTTGCAGTGTGTTTGCCTTTTGTTTGTTTAGTAAATGCCTGCGAGGCTGGGGCCAAGCTAAACCGATTCGAACTGGGCTGAAACCCAATGCCAACCGATGCCCATGCCGATGCCTATGCCGATGTCGATGCACGTTCAATGGCTGCAACGAGAGGCACTTCATTCTTCAGCACTCTAGCACACTGCCTCCCCCCGCATACCGCACTCTCCCGCAGCTCCCTCTGGGATGCTTCTTATGTCTGGGGCACTCGTGCGTTCAACAAGACACTCGAACTGTAGCTCCATCCAGCACTAGATGCCTGGCATGCTAGCTGCTTGCCACATCTCGAATTGAACTTAATTGAAATGAAATTGAGATGCCACAAGAGGTAGGGGAGGCAACGAAAAGACACAGTGAGACAGAGAGAGAGAGTGAGAGTGGGGCACTGAGATTGGAATTGGATGTGTCGCCATATGTTAAATGGTCTGTCATAAATGCTGATCGAGATCGTGTTGAAACATTTCCCAAGCCCGATCTAACGATAAATGCTCAAGTGTTTGACACCCATCAACCCATCACTTCTCCCTCTCTCTCTCTCTCTCTCTCTCTCTGCTGCTGCTCGTATCCCCCGTGAGTCAGGCATACCCTCTGCGTCTGGGGCACACTGTGGTGTCTGCCCCAGTCTCAGACCCAGACCAAAGCCCAGACCCACCCATGACGCTGACAGGCGATAAGTCTAGTCAATGAACCGCACCAGAGTGGGGGCATGGACATCCCATCCACTGGGGAGCACCCGTGGGGGGCGGGGGGGGAGAAAGATGAAAGATGAAAGATATATAAAAACTGCAACGCCCACACAATAGCTATTTTTTTTTTTTCTCTTGGATAAACAAAACGATAATAGGCAGCACCCCGGATAAAGATCTCTAGCGGACAGGGAGACAGAGTGGCAGAGTGACAGAGAGACAGAGACAGAGAGATAGTAAGAAGAATGACAGTGGCTGGCTGGCTGGCTGATTTATCGAATTGAGAGCTCAGATTTGTGTTAGATGTGTGGGAGGAGGAGGAGAAGTCTAGTAGGTTAGTGTTTGGAGCAGATGCAGGCAGTTTGGAGTTGCAGTGGAATAAAAATCTCTATTCCAGAGGCTGGGAAAAGCCTTACGGAAGCACACACGAATGCCCCCTGCCATCAATCCAAATATGAGTGAAGTGGAGTAGAGTGATACCCGCCAAAGAACGGGTTTGCCCACTGCCCACTGCGCTTACCCTGCGTTTTTGTTTACAAATAGCAATCTTCCAGTGAATGCTCTCATTAGCCGTTTATTTAGTGCCCGATTTCGCACATTTATCTGACAGATGCAGATGAAGATACAAAGACAGATGCAGATACAGATACAGCTACAGTTACAGGCATCTGTAGCCAGGCCAGTGGACGCTGCCGCTATCTATCTCTCTGCCCCAAGACTTGGATAAACAAACAAGCAAACAAACAAGCAAACAAGCAACAGATACACCCAACCCAGCACAAGTTCAGGCTTTTGTTTTGTTTACGCCCGCGAAGCGCAGCAATTGCAAAATCCTCGCAAATACCCTGGAACAGCGAGGGGGAGGGGAGCTGCTTGGTCAGCCCTTTGCTGTTCCGTGTGCCTTTGATTTCCTGTTTTGTTCCTGCTCCGTCATGTGGCATCGATGAGTGTGATGCGACGCCTCAAGCCTCAAAGGCTGTGCGTGCTTCAAGGGGTTTGTGGGACGTTTAGGTTTATTTTTTTAGGGGTTGTGACAGGGGCAGCAGCAGCAGCAGTCGACACCCTGCCTGCAACGGCCTGCACTTGGAGTCGGGGTAGCGGTAGCTCTTCCCCTTGGCCTTGTCGTGCCTTGCCTGGCCCACTTGGCGTACCGTCAACTCGATTTAATGTCGAGCAAACGCGCATACCAGGGCCAGTACGTGAGCGGAAACAATAAAGTAACTGTCTCCCGTGGCCACCCCTAGGTGTAAGTGTGTGGTGTGAGTGCCGAGGGTTGAGGGGTGGGTGGTGTGTCCTGTGTCCTGGCAGGGTGAAGAACATCCCAGTCGACCAGAGCTGCCGTATGGCTGGAAAGGGAAGAGCAATTTTTTTGAGTCAAGTACTTTGGGCCACTTACAGATCCCTAAAGTGACTTCAAGCGAATTCTGAAATTGGAAATATTCAAGCCAGAGCTAAAAAAAAAAGTGGAGAATAGAATTAGCTATGGAAAACATTTTGCCCGATTTTAGAAAGTTCATTGACAGATGATAAATCGATCGTATGGGTCTGGTCTCTCCTGTGGGTGCTCCTGTTCGCTCGACAGTCTGGCAGCACCGCCACACCGTTATCTTGTGCTTCTGACCTCCCTGTTTCAGCCTAGTGGCCAGGCCCAATGTGGCCCATGGCACACATTTTCGGGGCTTCCACTACTCGTAGTTTGTGCGGCGCAGGCGCTGAGAGCGAGAGAGAGCACTGCCCGAGAGCGTTATATATTATAGTGGGGTAGAACTAGAGGCCCAAAAAGCGGGCGATGGCAATTTGGCGTTGCCACTTGTCCGTTGCCGTTACATCCCTAAGAGCAAGAGTGCTGGAGAGAGTGGCAGAAGAGAGAGAGAGAGAGGTTGGTCTATTCAATTTTTGGATGCTTTTAGGGCAGTTTCTTCGCTGGCAGTTGCCACTCGCCTTCCGCCTACAACTTACTGCTGCCAACAAAAACAATAAATTGTGTTCAACTCAACTCGGGGATTTTTCCAATTGCAAACAAACAGCAAAACAGCGAAACAGCAAAACAATGTTGCAAATTTGTTTATAAAAACCAAAAAGACAGAAAAGAAAAGAGAAGGGAAAGGAAAGGAAAGGCTACAGACCACAGACCACAGGAACGGAGAGAACAGAGAAGAGGCCGTGAAAAGCAGGAAAGAAAATTGCGAGGCTTTCCCCCCGCAAATTACGCTTTAAGTAGGCGGCTCGGTATACACACGAATCGTAAGGAAGGGAAGGCATAGGAAGGGGACCAAAGACAAGAAACAGGAACAGGCACAGGCACAGGCCCAGAGCCCCTACCCCCAGCCCCCCCGCTGAGCCATGTGTAAGTAATGGCTTAGAGAAGGTGTGGAGCCAGAGCGATTCTCTCTCTCGAGTGCCACTCCACTTAAACTCCACTCCTTGCCTGCCATTCCCATTGCCATTCCCATTACCATTCCCATTCCCATTGCACTCCCCTCCCATTCGGTTTTCATTGCATTTACCTAATGAGGAGCAGAGAGAGCGAGCAGTCAGTCCTTCAACCGATTAACCCATTTGTGTGCCTTTTGTGTGTGTGTGTGTTTTGCTTCTTGTTGCAGCCAAGACGCCCTCGTTTGACAAGGACCGTGACTACATTGGTTTTGCCACGCTGCCGGAGCAGGTGCACCGGAAGTCGGTGAAACGTGGCTTCGAGTTCACGCTGATGGTGGTCGGCGAGTCCGGCCTGGGCAAGTCGACGCTGATCAACAGCCTCTTTCTCGGTGACCTTTACAAGAACCGCCAGATGCCCAATGTGGAGGAGCGCATCGAGAAGACGACACGCGTCGAAAAGAAGACCATGGACATCGAGGAGCGGGGCGTACGGCTGCGCCTCACTGTGGTGGACACGCCCGGTTTCGGGGATGCCATCAACTGCGAGGACAGCTGGCGGGTGTGCACCTCGTATATCGACGAGCAGTTCCGCCAGTACTTCACCGACGAGAGCGGACTGAATCGGCGCAACATACAGGACAATCGGGTGCACTGCTGCCTCTACTTTGTTCCGCCCTGGGGGCACAGGTGAGACCGCCACAGCTCCCAGCTCACAGCTGGTACCCAAGATACGAGCAGAACTAATCCATCCATTCATCCATCCATGCCGCAATCCTTTTGCAGCCTGCGACAGATGGATCTGGACCTGATCAGGCGGCTGCATCGCAAGGTGAACATTGTGCTGGTGATTGGCAAGGCGGACTGCCTGAACAAGCAGGAGGTGCGCAAGCTCAAGGAGCGCATTCTGCAGGACCTCGAGGACAATCACATCCAGCTGTACCAGTTCCCCGAATGCGACTCCGACGAGGACGATGACTTCAAGCAGCAGGACCGCGAGCTGAAGGCCTCCATCCCGTTCGCCGTCGTTGGCAGCAACACCATTCTGGAGGTCGCAGGCAAGAAGGTGCGCGGCCGCCAGTATCCGTGGGGCGTGGTCAATGTGGAGGATCCGGAGCACAGCGACTTCATCAAGCTGCGCACCTTCTTGATATCCACGCACATGCAGGACCTGAAGGACACCACACAGGTGAGCCACACATGCGCCCTGTGCCCTGTGCCCATGGTCCAGTGTATGTGACTGACTCTTGACCCTTGATTTGCCCCCTTGCAGGATGTGCACTACGAGAACTTCCGGGCGCAGTGCATCTCACAGATCTCGCAGCATGCGCTGCGGGAGCGCGGCAAGTTGAAGCGCGACTCGATCAGCTCGACGAACGGCTTCGATGCGGCCATTTCGGAGACGGATCGGCTGCTGCTGCAAAAGGACGAGGAGATCAGACGCATGCAGGACATGCTCACGCAGATGCAGGAGAAGCTCAAGCAAACGCATCTCATGGAGATGAAGAAGAATGACAGCGTGATCGATGTCTAGGCGGGACGGGATAGGACGGAACGGGACGCTGGAGAGTGACGGAGGAATCGAGCAAGGGACGTGTTCGAGCGTGTTCAATTTTGCACCTTGATATTGATAGATACACATACATACATATTTATGTATATGCGATACGACTTATATAATGTGACCCAGAGAGAGAGAGAGACACACACACATGTCGCATCCTGGAGCTGCAGCTGCAACCAAATCAATTTCTTAAGTTCTTAAGCTAGCACTGTTTTTGCTCCTTCTCCTTCCGTTCCGTTTTCTTCGGACAGTTAATCCATTAGTTGCAATCTTAAAAAATGTAGTTACGAGACTAAGCCAGCGATAGACAACGATAAGAGAACGGTAGTGGCGACCCTTCCGCAGCAGAGACCAAACACAACACGGCACAACAACCAAAATGCAGAGAATTGAATCCCCCCTGCCTACCTACTACCTACACTCTGCCACTGGCATCGAAGCCTTTTTCCAATATTGTAGTTAATAACAATTTGTACGAGCCTCATCCCCATCCCCATCCCCATCCCCAGTTTATATGCAGTTTTTCTGATACATACGAGTATATACATATATATATGTATTTTTTTTTTCTAGAATTATGTAACTATGTATAATCGAAAACAGTTAAGCAAACATTATACATCCATTTTGATGATATCATTTGGGACAGACGACAGAAAGTATTCTAAAGCGTAACGAATCGAAAAGATATTGAGTGTGAATCGCATTTCAGCAGCAGAAGGACAGCGATGACACTCGTCATCATATTTAATCAGTACGATATTATACCAAAGTTTACGAAGTTTCAAAAACTTGACGAAATAACAAAATGTAAAAAACAAACAAAAATACCCACAGAGGCACTTAGAATCGTTACCGAGAATGACAGAGCAGGAAGTTTTGTTTTTTTTTTTTTAATTTTTAAATAAAATTACTCATGTATATTGCTTTTGTTGTGTCAAGAACAATCGAAAGTAAAGAAAATTCCCTTGAATTTGTAAAGAAATTTTAAAATTCTTAGCCACGGCTGGTTCAAACTCTGGAAAAACATATTGTTGGCCAAATTAAATAAAAGCTGATTCTTAAAGCTGCTGTATACTTTCAGCAAGTTCCAATTATTTATTCTAATTATTATCCACAAACAAAAACAAAACCTATTTTGTTTAAACGAATTGTTAATGAATTTATTTTAAATGAATTAATTAAGCCTACATGCAACAACCATAATATTTAAATGAAATTATAGTCGAAAAATTATGTATAACAACATAGCGATGATAAAAATCGATTTCAAATAAAGGTAACAACAAATTAAGAATTAAAAACAAAGACTCCTATTGGAGTATGTATGTATTGGAGATTTTATAGAGAGTTTACTGCTGTTTTGCAGAGAAATCAATCAATTTCTTGCAAGCTCCGCTACGCTTGCGAGCTCCCTTATTCGACTTTCCAGCACGGCGGACACACTTCTTGGCTGCAGGTGGACTTGCAACGGCAACGGCTGGCTGAGTTTTTGGGCGTGTTGTTCGATGCCGGACCACGGCGCTTCTTGGGCGCTGGTCCCTCCCCGGTTGCTTAGGCAGCTGCACCTGGGTAACGTCCCACCGAACGGAATCAGTATATAATAATTAATATAAAGGAGAATCTCCCACATTGCCTTGTACTTAGTTTTGGGCTTTCTGTAACTGGGCTGAAGCACTAAACATACTTTTCCTTTATTTTACATTTTTATCAGCGATCAGTTATATTTATTTTCATGTCAGTCAGCTTTGGTCAGCGAGCAATAAGAATTTTCCGTTTCATATCAGCCAGCTTTTGTCAGCGAACATTTACAATTTTTTTCATATCAGTCAGCTTTTGTCAGCGAGCAATTATAATTTTTCGTTTCATATCAATCAGCTTTTGTCAGCGAACAAGTAGAATTTTTCGTTTCATATCAGTCAGCTTATGTCAGCGAGCAATTAGAATATTTCGATTCATATCAGTCAGCTTTTGTCAGTAAGCAATTCGAATTTTTCGTTTCATATCAGTCAGCTTTTGTCAGTGAGCAATTAGAATATTTCGTTTCATATCAGTCAGCTTTTGTCAGTAAGCAATTCGAATTTTTCGTTTCATATCAGTCAGCTTTTGTCAGCGAGCAATGGGAATTTTTCGTTTCATATCAGTCAGCTTTTGTCAGCGAGCAATAATAATTTTTTCGTTTCATATCAGTCAGCTTTTGTCAGTAAGCAATTAGAATTTTTCGTTTCATATCAGTCAGCTTTTGTCAGTGAGCATTTGGAATTTTTCGTTTCATATCAGTCAGCTTTTGTCAGTAAGCAATTTAAATTTATCGTTTCATATCAGTCAGCTTTTGTCAGCGAGCAATAATAATTTTTTCGTTTCATATCAGTCAGCTTTTGTCAGTAAGCAATCCGAATTTTCGTTTCATATCAGTCAGCTTTTGTCAGCGAGCAATAATAATTTTTTCGTTTCATATCAGTCAGCTTTTGTCAGTAAGCAATAAGAATTTTTCGTTTCATATCAGTCAGCTTTTGTCAGTGAGCATTTAAAATTTTTCGTTTCATATCAGTCAGCTTTTGTCAGTAAGCAATTAAAATTTTTCGTTTCATATCAGTCAGCTTTTGTCAGCGAGCAATAATAATTTTTTCGTTTCATATCAGTCAGCTTTTGTCAGTAAGCAATTAGAATTTTTCGTTTCATATCAGTCAGCTTTTGTCAGTAAGCATTTAGAATTTTTCGTTTCATATCAGTCAGCTTTTGTCAGTAAGCAATTAAAATTTTTCGTTTCATATCAGTCAGCTTTTGTCAGCGAGCAATAATAATTTTTTCGTTTCATATCAGTCAGCTTTTGTCAGTAAGCAATTAGATTTTTCGTTACTTTTTTCGTTTCATATCAGTCAGCTTTTGTCAGTAAGCAATTCTCTCCTTTGAGAAATTTTTCGTTTCATATCAGTCAGCTTTTGTCAGTAAGCAATTAGAATTTTCGTTTCATATCAGACAGCTTTTGTCAATGGGCAATAAAAACACATTTTTTTTGGTTTTTTTTTTATTTTTATTAAATTTTTACATTTATTTTTACAAAATCGGTTTCGACAGCTAAAAATAATTCAATTCATACAATCATATATTTTGGAGTGTTACACGTACACACATACATGCTTGCTGTCCTTCGGCTCGTGTCACGTCATGAGCCGAACGTGGTCAATCCCAGAGCCGAACGCGACCAGGGGCCGACCAGAGCCAAAGACCTGGGAACGTAAGCTGAAAACTCAGCTGCGCCACTTTCGTTGTATGAACTGTTTGATCTATATATCTATCTATATGTATGATCTACATATATACTGTTTGGTTAGGTGGCAGTGCCAAAATATGTGATTTCGTTGGTAGGCTATGCATCACAATACCCAGGGTTGCACTGAGAAGAAGGCGCCATCGGCAAAAACTCGAAAACTATTTTTCTGTTTTTGTATTTTGAAGAAATAGCAAAATAAGCAGCAATACTCAGCAGCCCAAAATGTCCCTACTCTCTAAGCATGGAGCTGAAAACACACTTCAGCATAAGCTGTCACATTGACAATCAATCACTGAATAACTGAATAACATAAATCAACATAATTACCCAACATTCACAAGAACATATACAAGTAAGTTTTACGGCGCACAGCTCAAGGTGTTGCAGCCTCTCCGATCAGTGTCCCAGCTACTCCAAAATAATATCTCTTTTGCAGTGGATCTATGTCAAAGTTGGCAAAGCAACAAATTGGAAATGGAGCTAGTTGCTGCTTTGCAGAACACTGTGTGCCAAGATCCAAAACTACTTTTGGCTGTGAGACAGTTTATGGAAGAGGCAGCAGCCAGCAATATGGCCGAGTTCCTTAAGGCCATGTCCGTCATCCTGGCCAATAAGACATACAGCGCCGTGGCACGCTCGGCCGCTGGTCTGCAGATAAAAAGTAGCCTGACCAGCAACGATGAGAGTGTGAGAAAACAGAAACAGGAGACATGGCACCAGTTTCCCAACGAGAGCCGAGAGTTGATCAAGCATAACCTACTGGCCACATTGGGTACGGAGAACACGCGGCCCTCTTGTGCCGCCCAATGCGTGGCAGTGCTGGCAGTCATTGAACTGCCCCTTCAGCGCTGGGAAATTCTTATCCAGACCCTGCGGAACAATGTGGTCGGCGAGGGATCGAGTGAATTGCTTCGCGAGTCTGCTCTGGAGGCCATTGGCTACATCTGCCAGGACATACAGTGCGACCTGACGGAGAATCAGTTGAATCAGATGCTCTCGGCCATCGTCCATGGCATGCGCTGGGTCGAGCCGAGCCAATATGTCCGCCTTGCAGCCACCACTGCACTATACAACTCGCTGGAGCTCACCGAGGCCATTTTTGAGAAGGAAGTGGAGCGTAACGCCATCATGCAGGTGGTCTGCGAGGCCACGGTGTCCAAGGACAAAAATACCTGCGTGGCCGCCTTGCAGTGTTTGGTGAAGATTGTGAGCCTGTACTATCAGTTGATGGAGCCCTACATGACCCCGGCCCTCTGCAGCATCACGCTGGAGGCCGTGAAGGCGGAGCACGATGACATTGCTCTCCAGGGCATCGAGTTCTGGTCGACCGTATGCCAGGAGGAGATCGAGCTGGAAATTGAACGCCAAGAAGCCACGGAGGATGGTCGTGCGCCCACCTGTGTGTCCATGCACTATGCACGCGGCGCTCTGCACAGCCTCGTCCCAGTGCTGATCGATAGGCTGAGCAAACAGGATGAGTGCGAGGATGAGGATGTCAGCAGTCCGGCCAAAGCTTCGTCCATCTGCCTGCGGTGGCTCACCAGCACTTCTGCTAACGAAATGCTAGCCCTTGTGCTGCCGTTCCTCTTGGCGAACATTACGTCCGACGACTGGCGCCTACGAAATGCCGTCCTCATTACCTTCGGCTCCGTGCTAAGCGAACTGGATGCCAACACGCTGAAGCCGCTGGCGGATCAGCTGATGCCCGCGTTCATCCAATTGATGTCCGACTCGAGTGCCAATGTGCGCAGCTCCGCAGCCAGGAATTTGGCTCAAGTCTTTAAAATCGTTCCGGAGGCAGCCATCGACCAGTCATACCTGGAGCCGCTTGTCCAGCTCCTTCTGAAGGGACTGCAGGCGGAGCCTCGTGTGGCCTCCAATGTGTGCTTGGCACTCATTGGCCTCTCCAACGCCGCCTCCAAAGCAGCCCCAACTGGCGAGACGTATGCCCTGTCGCCGTTCTTTGAGTTCATCATGGCTGGACTGCTGGCGACCAGCGAACGTTTCGATGGTGGCCAGGCCAATCTGAGAGGCACCGCATACGATGCACTGCAGAAGATGATTGGGGACTCTTCCCTTGACTGCTATCTGGTGGTGCAGCGCACTACCATTGTGATCTTCGAGCGTATCAGCCAGGCCATCCAGATGGAGCGGCACATCAGCGAACAGAGACGCCGTCAGCTCAACGAAACGCTGTCCCTGCTCTGCGCCACCTTGCAGAGTTTGCTGCGGAAGATACACAAGGAGGAATGTCCACAGATATCGGACGCTGTTATGAATGCCATGCTCAGCATTATTCAATTGAATGCTGGAAAATCGGGACGAGTGCAGGAGAGCGGCTTCCTCGTCGTCTCCGCACTGGTGGATCGCTTGGGCGTTCAGTTTGCAGCGTATATGCCGGCCTTCAAGCACCTCCTAATCTGTGGGCTGCAGACCCACCAGAAGTATTTGATATTCTGTGCCAGCATCGGACTCTTCGTCAATATTTGCCACGCCCTCAAGGAGCAGCTGGTGCCCTACTGCGACGAGATTATGTCCGTGTTGATGACCAATCTGATGGACCCGTCGGTCCATCGCAACGTTAAGCCGCCGATACTGTCGGCCTTCGGTGACTTGGCCCGAGCAATTGGCAGTCATTTTCTGAAATATTTTGACATGGTACTGGGTATCCTGCTGGCCGCTTCTAATCTCCAGAAAGATCCCACCAACATTGACACCAACGAGTACATCGTCGAGCTGCGCGAGAATGTCGTCCTGGGATACTTTGGCATCCTCCAAAGCCTGATGGGCCTCGATCAGACGGGCCATCCCCTGATGCACCTGGCGCCCCATCTGCCGCACATAATTGGCTTAATCAACCGCATTGCCCAGGATGGGGAAATATCCGATTCGTCGATGCCATCCGCTGCTAATCTCATTGGCGATCTGTGCACTTGCTTTGGCCCACAACTCCGCCCACTGATGGACACTGCGGCTATCATCCAATTACTTGATGATGGCAAGCAGTCCATGGATAATGATATCTTTACAAGGGTCATCGAGATAGTCCAGAAGATCACTGGCCAAAGCAGTACGCAGTCACTTTAATAGTTAACAAAATAATATATTTATGTTTATGATTTCCAATTACAATTTCCTTCACGGTTATCTCTGCTTTTAAATCATTATCTGGTGTAAGCGAGCAGGATCTGTGATTTGGAATAATTGGCTGGATGACAAAGAGATATATAGATCGGCTTGATGTAAGTTTCCTTAGCACGACTCATCTATTTTAGCCCACAGCCAGTCCAGAGAGCTCCTGTGGCTGCTGGCTGCTGACTGATGATGCTGCTTTTGGAGGTTACTGTTCGGCGTTCCTTTGACAGCTTCAGTGCCGTATTGCAGTATTGCAGGATTGGATACACTTGTGCCGACTGTTGCGCTGCCCAAAAAATAATGCTACAAAAATGTCGGGGGAAATGAAAGAGTCGACCAATTGCAAGTATTTTTAAATATTATCATCTCATTTATTTAAATTTATTAATTTCTCATTTTCATTTCTCTTTGTGTTTGTTCTCTTTTATGTATCTCACTTGTTGTCTCCACTATCCTTTATGCTCTTTTTGTGGGGCGGGGAATTCTGTTCTTTTCTGTTCTGTTTAATGGCAAACTGACGCTGACACTGACTGACTTTTGCTCTTAGTTATCATCATTTTTGCGTTTTTACTTACATGCGTTACTTACTCTTGCATGCATTTATGTGAGTACATACATATGTACATACATACATATGTATGTGTACATATTAGTTTTTGCTTTCTTCTTCTCTTTTCTTGGGGTAAATTTTGTTTAACTTCATAAATGATTACGCTTGCACATACATAACTACATATACTCCTATATACATATATAGATCTATGTATGCATATGGTATTTTTTTTTTTTCTGAGAGAGGCGAAACGAAACCGAAACAATACCAATACCAATACCAATACTCGAAGTACAATAAAGAAAGACTGTTAATCGGTATGCTTTTAGTTTATTCCAGTTGTACGTAATTATAAGTATTCTTAAGTGACTAAGCCTGGATAAGCCCTAGTACGCCTGATCAAGTTCATTGGTAGGTAATTTTACAATTACGATTTTCTATTTTTCCATATTTCCATTTTCAATGTTTAATTTCCCTCATACTAATTTCCCTGACCATATGTTCGCTCTGACGGCTTCACTTCGTGTCTAACCGCACAGCTCACGATCGCCATCTTCAATCGTGTTTGCTTTTCGCTTCCGTTTCCGCTTTCGCTTTTCACTTTTCACTTTCGGTGTTGTGTGTTGTGTTATGTGTGTGTGTGTGTGTGTGTGTGTGTTAGGTCTGTTGCTTGTTTGTGAGCTCCTTGTATATGTAATTGTATAAATTTCCAAAAACAAAAAAAAAATGCCTAACTGTTTCCACAGTAACGCCAGCGTTACCTGAACTCTATGTATATAATATCTCTCATATATACTATATACCCTTCATCTCTCTCCCCATTCGATTGAAATGCTGCTCCTCTATATTCTATCTCTAGATGTCAGCATTTCAAGCGGTATGTCCTCTAACAACCGTCGCCAGCGCACATTTTAATGGTATTTCTTCTTATTTTTTTTTTTTCAGTATGTATATTCTTTGTATATTTTGTTTTGTGTTTTTTGTCTCTTTCCCTTTCTTTTTTTTATTTTTGTTTGTTTTTTTGTTGGTTTGTCTTTGGTGTTTTTCATTTCATTATAGTACAAAACATGCCTTCTTTTCAATCATTTGTATTCAATTTGCCTTCTCCTGCCCCTCTTCTTTATTAGTTATTTTTTTTTTGTTGTTTTCAAAATTTCTGCCATTATTGGTAACTGGTTTTTTTTGCTGCTCTATATATAGTAGATATATTGTATGTATATACTATATATATATATTTAAGGTTTATTATTAAGTTATCTCAAAAAAAAGTTCTCAATTACGGCTAACAGCACAACAAACAGTTTTCATATTTGGTTTTCATCATGTGGCTAAGTAATCCAAAAAATTTGGCCAACCTGTACTACAAATGCTGATCTCTCTCTCTTCTATCTATATATGCGTACTCGTATTTTTATGTATTTATAGTATCTCTCCATATGTATGTATATACTATATTATGCGAATATCTTGATGATGATCAAAGGAGTTAACAGAAACTCTACACATTCTATACTCGTATGTGCATATGTATGTCGTTATATATGTAGATATTAATACAGATATATATACACTGACATAATTTGCGGCACTTTAAATTCGAAGCAACACAAAAATCAATACAAAAAAGAGATTAGATTTTGAGTGCCCGTTTGAAATACATTACTACTACAATACTACACGGATTCCAATTTCAGTCATAACTGGCCCCACACGTGGCCATCGAAATTGAGTCAGCTACATTTAGATAGAGATACATACATAGATACTCGTAGTTTTGTGGGTGATGTGTGGTGTGGTGTGGTGAGGTGAGGTGAGCTGAGGTGAGACTGAGATGCCTATAACTTGCCGCTGCTGCTGTCTTTTGGATTTGCTTAGCAAGTTTCTACAAAGTTATACATACATACACATATATTAGTAGGTTCATTTGGTTTTTGTAACCATAAATTGCTTGTCTTGGATGCTTTGTTTTTTGTTTTTGTTTTTGGATGAGGCTGAGTTCTTTGGTTAGGATCATTTTTAATTTCTTTTTTTTTTAATCATTTCTGCTTCATTTTACTTTATTTTACTTTACTGATCTGATCAGATCTGATCGATTTGGTTTTTGGGCATTAAATTCATTGAATTACAGACAAACACACACACACACAGAGAATACACGTACAACATACATATGTATGTATGGTTAGGTTAAGTAAGTATCAACTCGAGTATACAGCAAATGTACGTATGTACTATATGCATGCATGTATCTATGTATATAGTATGTATATGTATGCATGTAAATGTATATATGTATGTATATGTAGTTTGGTTAATGCTCTGGTAAATAACGAGCACATATTCTCATACACTCGCATGTACGTATGTATGTAGCTACACACATCATGTACCATGTACCATGTACCATGGATCTGTTATCGGTATTCGGTATTCTTCTATATTCTGTTTTCCATTTATGTTTTTTTGTATTGTGAATCGGTTTCTGTTTCTGTTTCCGTGTCTCCTCTGTGGATCTCTAGGCTGTAGTTTCATTACTCACAGGAAAATACTTATTACAAATACAATTTACTTCAATTTTATTCATTTGCTTGTGAGAGGAGAAAAAAGTCATTTAGTTTTTTGTTTGTTGTTTTTTTTTTGTTTGGTTTTCTTTGTTTTATTTATTTCACTCAATTGTTTTTTTTGTTAAAGTAGCTTTTTGTTTTTTGGTTTTGCCTTGTTTAAGTTTGCCATGGACTTGCCGTCGTTTTGCTGTTTGCTGCAACTATTGTATAATTAATTAAACATTAATCATATATGTAGGTATATATGTATGTATATCTTGCTGTATTTGCTGTAGGTTGATTAAGTTTCGACAAATAGTAAATCTGAATGCTGCTTAAATTGCTATAAAGTATTCTTGCTCCTGCTTTTGCTTTTGCTTCTGCTTCTGCTGTTGCTCAGCTCAGCTTCAACTTAAACTTCATCGCTTTATCCTCATTTTCCAATACATCTAACTCCTGCTTCAACGATAATTTTCTTGGATGCATACATACGTATTCCGTATATATATGTATATAACTCTTGTTAATATATACATGTACATACATATATGTGCATCATAATTTTAATGATATTTTTAGACCATCAAGGTTCTCTTTTCCATTTCATTCACATACTCGTATTATTTATATATATATATTTGTTATGTATTCCAAAAAAAAAAAAGACTATTTTAATCGCGGATCCTGCCCGCTTAAACACAAAAAAGAAATATGTGTGTATATATGTATGTATATAGTATAGCACTAAGGTCTGCAAAAAAAATAATAATAATCGGGTAATAAATTAATAACAATAAAACATAATATAAAACAATATGTATAAATTATGCGCTCTTTAGAATTTGGCCTGCCACATTGATCGATCCGCGCACCAGCACCAGGATCGTGACTTCACATATCCATATATGTATATACATATATACTCGTATAGGGTATAGCTTTACTATATCTGTATATGTATATATATATACTATATGTATGTATAGATCTATATAGAGTGTTGTATAGGTTAGGTATAAATAATGGTATTATAGCCAATGACTTTTTCGTTCTTTTTTTCTTTTGGTTTTTGCATTTCGATAACTAAAAATTGCTTGTGCTTGTTTTTTGTTTTGTTTTGTTTGTTTGTTTGTTTTTAATTTTTTATTTTTGTGGTTGTCGAAGAGTCTTTTTCTTTGTTGTAAATTGTGTGTGTTTTTTCCAGTAAAATTGTTCACTAAATTCATGTTCTGTTCCACATGCTCCTTCTCATTTTCATTCCTGTTTGTGGTCTGTGTCTTGCCTCGTTTCGGTTTGATTTTTACTTTGTGTTTTTTTTTATCAGCTTAGTAACTAAATAATATATAATATATAGTATGTAATATATAGCGAAAAATATTTGCGAAGACAGCGTTTGACATTATTTTCTGTTTCTCTCCATTCTCCTTCTCTCTCTTTCTTTCTCGTTCCTCTTATGGAAGCAAATTTAAATTGCAATTCAAAAAGAAATTCAAATGGAAATGGAAATTCGTTAGCAACCTAAAATTTATTTTCATTCCATTCCATTCCTTTGATCACTTCTTTCTCATCTCGAATTGCCTTTTCCTCTTCCTCTTTCTCATCCTCATCCTATCCTTATTCTTGCTCTTCTTAGTTTTATGTTTAATGTTTTTTGGCTTTGTTTTCTTTCATTTAGTTTACCGGCAACATTTGCCAGCTGCTTGATTTAAATTCGAGTCAAACATTTAAATTATTTACAAATAATATTACAAAAAAAAAAAATCATTATATATATTTTTATAAATATATATATATATGTATATGTAAATATATTTACATACATATATGTACATACATATGTGTTTGTATATATATGAATAAACTATACAACTACAGTCTGGCTGTAGACCGCTCAAGGGAACAGGAGGGGGGGCGGGGGTCTTTA